TTGACTTGTGTGTAATGTTTCTTAATTGATCATTGATGGCTATAGTAATCAGCTCTGCTAAATATATCCCCTCCATGGCACCTGATCCCACCTCTAATGTTTTTAGAGGCTATGTCAGCGTTGACTCAGCTCTTGATTTGTAATGTTTAGATTAGACTTTACAAGCATAATTAAAGTTTGTCATATTTATATGCCATGTATATTTAAGCCCTGGCAAAGAGAACATCGTCACAAATGACCGTTGGGGGTATGACTGCTACTGCAAACACGGAGGAATATGGACGTGTTCGGACCGTTTTCACCCTGGTATATTTTCTTCAGCGTTGATCTATACATTTCTTTTAGAATTTTACCAATATCTCACTTTGAGAACTAGCAATGCAATATCAATATAAATCAATCAATCAATATAAATGCTAATTTCAGATAAAATACACGGTATTTTACCTGTATACATTTATTTTTATCAAATGAATTTTTAATAAACATCTGTTACCGGTAGGTCACGTGATGCCACATAAATGGGTCAATGCCATGACAGTAGATAGAGGTTCCTGGGGATTCAGAAGAAATGCTGACTTGAGTCAGTACTACTCCATAGAAGAACTCTTAGAGGAAGTGATTTATACGATAAGGTTATTAGCCTATCCAGCGTGGAATGCAAACATTTTCTTGCAAAGAATAAGTAACTTTATTTCTAAATGCATTTAACGTATTTTTGGTTTTCAGTTTTGGAGGAAATATACTCATCAATGTTGGGCCAACATTCTGGGGTACAATTTCCCCGATCTATGAAGAAAGATTTCGTCAGTTAAGACCTTGGCTTAAGGTCATTGGAGAGGCAATCTATAAAACTACACCCTGGACTCACCAGAATGATACAGTGACCAATAGGGCATGGTCAGAAGTCCTCATAAACACATCTTCAGTGCAGACATTAATTAAATCATTGTACTTTGCTTCCTAGAGCTAATTTTTCTTTCATGTGATTGCCTAATTGGTCATCAAAAAATATTTTGTTATTGAAATATATATGTGGAGACAACAAACAGTATTTCCGCTCAAAAGTCCATTTAACATTACAAAATTGGAGTAAAGCAAACACAGACCTCTTAAACATCAGAGGTTCCATGTAGCAGACAGCATCTCCTGCCGATGGGTAACACCCACCGTGTGACCCTTCTTATGATCGGGAAGTAACGGAATAAATCCGTGGACAAATCAGTGTGTTAAGAATGACCTAACAATCGGTAGAAAGTCAGTCACTATTTGTCTAAAATCGTATTTGCTGAAAAGGTAATTGATTCTACACACATATATACTCAGTACTCAGTACCAGTACTTGGTATTAAAAGGATGCATGAGTCCCTCTTTGACAATATTTATGTGGTCTTTGGAGACTAGGTCTTACAATAAACTGTTAAACACTTAAAGTGATCCTTTGTAACAGTTGTAGCTCTGCAGTTTTCATAATCTAATGAAACCTAATTTATTCAAAAATCTCTACATGAGAAGAAGAAAACACTCCCCGTGACCCTTATTTATGCCCTCTTCACAGACTTGTATTTAACATATCGATCGATCACTGTTGATTATCTTCACCCTTTTTATTGAGTAGATTATTAAGGAAAGAAGAACCAAAAAATTAGAGGAAATCTTGAAAATAGTAGATCGGAGAGTAAAAAAATTTATCTATTTTGGCACAAAAAATTCTTAACGTACGTAATCTGTTTCAATATTTTTCGAGGGAAGATACTGGTATTTGGATTTTTTAAATCCCTTAAATTAATGTTTTTTCTGCTTATTTGTGTTTTATTTGATTATACATGTATTCACCTGCATATTGTTAATTAATGAATGTCTTTGCTTTATAGTACCCTTTATTCTACAAAGGTACACTGCATCGAAAGCTGACAAGAACACCATTTATTGTATGGTTTTGGATTGGCCATCGGACAATGAAATTATTCTTGGAGCTTTGAAAGATACAACCGTTTCTAATATAACGCTGCTTGGTACAGATGCACCGATGAATTTTACACCAGGATCATCCGGACTGAAAGTTGTATTTCCCGCCCTAAATATTTAAAAATATGCCATGTCTGTGGGCGTGGTCTCTAAGGATCACCCTCAAGCAATAAACAGGAAATGACGCAATAATTAAATAACGTGCATAGCTCCTATTCACTGTGGCACGTAATGGTATTTGTGTGGTCTGCTATAAGGTAAAAGGTGTATTATATTTATGTGCAATATTGAAAAACAATAAAATGTGCTTTAAGTATTCATGTATACATAACTGACATAGAAGTATTTGATTTAAAATCAATTTATTTCAATAAGGGATAAACAAATATATGTACCAAACGAATTCACTTTGTCGTGAAATGCCGCATTTACAAAGTGCCGAAATCATTTCCATTACTGTACCTACCTACCTAGTCCTTGTTATGCCCGTGGGCACATAGGGCAAGGACTAGATTTCTCCACTTCTCTCTATCTTTAGTAATTTTTTCTAAAATCTCCCCATTACAGGTCATTTCCTTCTCAACTGTCCTTCAGGTGGTAAAAATTTCCTTTCCCCTCTGGTGTCCATCTAAGGGCTACTTTGGTGATGTTGTCGAGGCTTCCTCAACACATGCCCTATCCATCGCCATCTCCGTTTTGTTAACAATGTTCGTATATTGTCTGTGTTTTTATGTAGTTCCACATTTGTGATTTTGTTTGGCTTTGATCTTTCTGAGGCATCCATTGTGGAAACTAGAGAGTTTGCATATGTCTCCTTCTGTCATTCTCCCGCATTCTGAAAACATAGAGTAGGACAGATAGTACACAGCTGTTATATATTCTTAATTATGTCCTTCTACTTATGTCATTTGTTTTCCATATGCTCTTCAGGCTGATGAAGGCACCTCTAGCTTTACTTAGTCTGGCCTTTATATCTTTGTCTGCACCCCCATCCATTACTGTGCATCAACAAAATATATTTGAAATAACTTGAGAGTATTTGTTATTTGTGTGCATTTTTATTTTCAAACATCGAAACAAGCTTATTTTCATTATTTTGACTCGCCGGTAGGGTCCCGTGATTTTACATAGTTGTTTATTTATAGATTAGAGCAGCAGTAACTTTGGAATCACTGAAGGTTTATACTTGAACAAAGGTTATATAAAACAAAATTTTAATAAGTGCAAACTTTGTAAGAGATTTAATGACCTTGTGTCATGATTTTTCTTACATTCCTTTGTTCAAAATTAACAAAATTGTATGAATAGTTTAGAATTCATAACAGCCGTATAATTTTCTACAGAGAATCATTTTACATCCATATTTTACTGAGAGATCACTAATTTTAATAGAAGTTGATCTACACAACTTTTTTTTTTTTTAATTAAACAAAAACTTTTTGGCATGTTCAATGACACATTTACTAAATTTGATTGAAAACTTATTTGAAAACTGCAGCAGGGGATATAGCTAATATTCTATGAGCTTGTTTACAATAATTCTAGGCTCATGGGAAAGGACTTTTTGATATTTCAAAGCGTGAAAAAAATTTCATGTCACATGAGTCACTCAGTAGTCCTATATTGCGATGGTTTTGTTCAACATCGTGGTTTTTTTTTTGTTTGTTTGTTTGTTTGTTTGTTGGTTTTTTTTTTTCGTACGTTAATAAAAGAACATTTTTAGCTTCTTCGAAACCTCTTTTTTGCTGATTCACCATCATTATGCGTTATTACATTCTGCGTGATGATCCATGTAGATTGTACTTATAAAACAAAATTTTAATAACAGACTTTTAGGATTATTTTTCATGTTTTACATTTTGCTTCAAAATTAAATACTAAAATTTTTGGATCACTTAGAAGTGGTTGATATATTGATACTTTTTTAAATTTGATCTACACAACTGATGAAAAATTTTAATTTAATTAAGCAAAAACTGTGTTTTGGCATTTTGCATCATTGCAATTTGTTTAATTGATCTCGACGGAAAATGTAATGATGCAAAATGAAATTATGATAAAAATTCTGTTATTAAATTCTGTGTAAACCTCTATGCAAAATGTCCGCGCAAAATGTAACAAAAGTAAACATCTAAAACTTTGTGATATTTATATTTTACGTTAATCTAGATGCAACATGAAATATTGTAAAATGAAATGATTTTGAAGCTATGTTATTACACTTTGCATTATTATTATTTTACGTAAATTTGATCTCGACTCAAACTGTAAAAAGCAACATGTTTTAATAATCCTGTGTATTGCATTTCTCTTTGAATATAACACTAATATGCTTTTCAACAATGTACCTATACTGCGACATCCAACAGCTATTGCCTTGCTGCTAGGTACGGTCAAAAGATTTTAACCCTTGATTACGTTTTATTTTAGAAACTAAGTTTGAAAGAATATTGCAGTACACTGAGATACCGTTATTTTAGCCCAGCCCAGTACGTGTCAGACAGATTAACAAATTAAATATCCTCTATCAGGATTTAAAAAATTACAAACCTAGCGTTAATCCATCATTTCGCTCAAAATTTTGACTTTCCCCTTCAAGTTCAGAGAGAATATCTAAAATCTAGAAACCAGAGATTCTTCGTTAGGCTCCGACAAGGACACGAGGCATGCATATAAGCTCTATTTTAACCTCATCATTTATCTTATAAATTTTACACAAGCGTATTCCCTAAATGAAAACAGGTATTTATTTTTATCTTACATGTTTATAATTATATTAAACAAACTATACCTGTATCTCTCTAACCAATGATAAACTTATGCACATGTAAATTTTGTTAGCAATTATTTATCGTCAGCTGGTCATAAGTTCATGTGCTTAAGATTAGAATGGGATTATAGTAATATATTTGTACACACTGTTTATAAAAGTTATCACATGACATATATGTATAGATATAGAAAACACAGAGGGAATTATTTTATAAGGATACCTACAATCGCCTGGAGTTTAACTAGACCTACAGAATCTCTCTCTTAGCAGTGCTTACATATATATAACTTTCTTTAGGATGCCTGGTCAAACAAACGTGATTCTAATATGCTTTGTGATCTTGTCCATCACATCTTCAGGAAACTGTCAAAAATACCAACCAACATGGGAAAGTATTGACTCCAGACCTATACCGGAGTGGTATGATGATTCCAAGATCGGAATGTTCATAAACTGGGGTGTATATACCGTCCCATCATGCACCAGTGAGTGGTTCTGGTGGTTCTGGAAAGGGCAGCCACAACCAAATGTGGTGGAGTTCATGAAGAAATTTTACCCACCAAACTGGACGTATGCGGACTTTGCCAAGGAATTCCGGGCGGAGTTTTATGATGCTAATATGTGGAAAGACGTAATAGTGTCCTCCGGGGTCAAGTAAGTGGTTACAACTTTTTGTTGGTTTGTTTAACGCCCCTTTCGAATTTATCTCTCATTTTGAAATGTCACCAATTGATGCAAATTTACGACCTGCGACTGGAGGACTGCAAAGTGTAACCTATACTCCGAAGTCAGGGCCATTCAATAATGAGGAATCTTTTTAATGCTAGCATAAGATCTGGTCTCCACGTCCTTCTACAGGACTCGAACCTGCGACACAAGCATCAACTCCTTACTCCGCGAATTTAGAGAAAACGCAATGCGCAACACGGGCATCAAGATAAAATTGAAAAATATACGAGTAGAAGTTTAAACTTCACCTTCGAAAATTGTTTTATCGTGTGATTGTCAATCATACATGTATATTGCTCTAGATCATTTTTAATATCATTGAAAAACTAAAGGCTCCTAGCATTGGATGATACTGCACAATGAAGTAAAGAGTGTACTTACGCCCTACTCAGGCAGAAAAATGTTTATCAGAAATGATTAAAAATTTGAAGGACAAAAATGACATGTGCATATGCTTCTATACATGTACTACTATCATAATTACAATAGGAAAAGTTTTTTTTAACCATGCCTTATCAAAATATCATGGCTTTGAAGTATGAATATTAACAAATATATGAGAAAAAAGTCTCATTGAAAATAAAACAAACAAATACCTCTGTTTTATCCTCAGATACGTCGTCTTAGCTTCCAAACATTGTGATGGGTATAGCATGTACCCTACTAATGTGACGTACCAGTGGAACTCAAGAGATGTTGGACCAAAGCAGGACCTTGTAGGTGAGTGAAAATATAGTTTCTCGTAACTTTATAATGTTATACAATTATTTCTGTTTCTGAGATCAGATCGATGATTTAGTCATCTGAGGGAGAACTATATACACCGAGCCCGAAGGGCGATAGGAATTATTCAATTATTTAAGGAATGAATTTAAGGTCATACGCAACGTAGTTTGAACTTTTTTGTCTTTTTCCATGGAGTTGAAGAGTTCCAAATGTTGAAGGAACTGTGTGTTACATTTTAATTTTTATATATGGTGTTGTAGGCTTCTTCTATAACAATTCGGGATAAAAGAATAATCTAGAATATATGTTTAGTATTTTTTATATATTTTTCTTCATCAATCAATATCTTTCAAAAAAAAAAAAACCCTGGTAATGCATGCTGATTTTTTGTCTATGAACATCTGATGACACTATAATCATAAATTAAGAATATCATGAAAAATTATCAGAAGTTAAGGTACGTTGCATATGTCCTTAATAGCGACCCATTTTATACGGTATAAACTCGGTTGGGGCAGTATACGCTTTATAAACCGCAAAGCGGTTTATAAGAAAAGTGTAAACTTCCAACCCAGTTTTTACCGTATAAAATGGGTAGCTATTAAATTCATTGCTTGATAATTTAATTCTGGTTGTAACGCTGTATTTGATTGGATAAAAAATTTACTTCATATCGTATAAAATGGGTTGCCTACGTCACAATGACTTGCGTCAAAAACGTATCAATCCGCCTGATGTTACATTCAAATTTTGTACAAATTGAAGTCATTTTATTAGAACAATTATCTTTTTTTTCTTACAGCAAATGAATGAAAATTAAATTATAAGCAATGAAATTAATAGCTACCCATTTTATACGGTATAAACTGGGTTGGAACAGTTTACGCTTTTTTATAAACCGCTTCGCAACCCAGTTTATATGGAAAAAAAATCTGGAATTAATGTTTTGTAATTTTGGTACATTTTTCTTTGATTAATGCAAAAATTTTTAAAATTTGACATCTTTTCAAAACCCCTGGTAACGCATGTTGATTTTTTGTCTAAGAACATGTAATGGTATTATAAGTTTAAATTTAAAATATCTTGAAAAATTATCAGTAGGTAAGGTACGTTGCGTATGTCCTTAAGCATAAATATAAAATAAGAAATTGAGGGCCAGGAAAAATTAATAAAATGTTTAAAGATTAAAGACATGCAGCCCAAGCTGGTTTAGGAAGATGAGCATATATAGTTTGTACTACCACAATAGGATTATTTTCATCTAAATTTTGCTTATTTCCTTTTACTGTTGTCTGCCATTTTCTTGCATTAAAAAAACATAAATTGGAATAGCTTTTAGAGGAAGGGAATATTTTAGATATGAGTAAATAGCTTTTAGAGGAAGGGAAGATTTTAGATATGAGTAATGGTTTGGTTTTTTTTTTGCCCTTGTCAATCATTTCATCTGGTAATTTTGCGAACCCCCCCCAAACCTCTTTTCATTTTAGAAAGATATAGTTACAATGTTTATTTTTATCATTACGATTAAAAATCTTAATTATTGATATTTTTCAAATGTTTGAAAATATATATCATCAAATCATTACATGTATATAGCTTCATGTCATTTTAACGTTATGAAAATTCATGCAGTTACGCACGCGTACACTGTACGTCAAAGTAAATATTCCGTCTTTGTCGTACGGTATTTTATACATTTATACACAGAAATATATGTCATGTTATACATCAAACGAAAGAGAAAGAAAAACTCTACAAGAATCAATAAAAAACTGAAAATGTCAAAATTCTTCGTTAAGGGAGGTTTTTGCTTGGCGCGTCACATATTATTGTGTACAGTGAGATGTTTTCTTGCCTTGGGTGTCACTACTGTGAATGTAAAATTTCAGAGAAGCAACATCAACTCAGTCTGGTGATTGTTTTTATGTTATTTCTGCTATTTATAGATCTAGTCTTGTGACGTTTCAACATCTTGTCCTGTACAGGGCATATTGGTGGCGGCAAAGATATGCTCTTGACCTCACTGAAAATATAAATGATCCTTATAAGGGGTGTGTTATGCTAAACCACATATACTATATTAGCGACATTACCTACACAATTTTGGTGACATAACTTTTAGAATATTGATGACATCACCTTTACAATATTCTTGACATCACCTATACAATATTGTTGATGTCACCTAAACAGTATTGATGATATCACCTACACAGTATTTTGATATCACATATACACTATTAGTGACACACCTATACAATACTGGTGATATCACCTATTCGAATTGATGTTAATACCCCTTCAGCCTTTAAATCGGCGAAATCACCTTTTTGAATAGGTAACTGAACTTTAAGGCGGTAAATATCATAAGCGAAGCCCAGCTTGAACTTAAAACAGAAATATCCTTCAATTTAAACTTTAAAAAAATTCTACTAAAGGTCCTTTGAAGGAAGCACTCCAGGGAACTGATGTCAAGTTCGGAATCTACCATGCCATGATAGAGTGGTTCAACCCAATATGGCTCACGGATCAAGCGAATAACTTTTCTACGCAGAGATATGTCAAAGTCAGTCAAGCATGAAAAACGTTGAAAGTTCGATTTTAACTAAACACATAAACTTTTTTTTCTTCAAAAGGTACGTTTTCTTAAAAAGTACATTAAAGATTACCATTGTATCAAACAGGACTACATACACCCCCAGTTGTATGAGATTATCAACACGTATCAACCGGATGTTTTGTGGAATGATGCATGCTGGTTGGCTCCAAGTTGGTACTGGAACTCAACAATATTCCTAGCATGGTTATACAACGAAAGGTAAACAAGAAGTTAGATTTATCAATTCTTTTGTTTTTAAAGTTGGTTGAAAATCATGAAGTAGTTTATTCTGTTCCTGCTATCAAAATTTAAATAAATATGGTAAACAATGTTTTGGAGAGAATATTTATTTCTGGCACCTGATCCCACCTCTTGTGTTTCTAGAGGCTAGGTCAGCGATGGCTCAGCTCTTGATTTGCATTGTTTAAATAACACTTTACAGGCATTATAATTGTTTGTCATATTTATATGTCATGTATATTTTAGCCCTGTCAAAGACAACATCGTCGTCAATGACCGTTGGGGGTACGACTGCTTCTGCAAACACGGAGGAATTTGGACGTGTTCGGACCGTTTTCATCCTGGTATATCTTCTTCAGAATTGATCTATACTCATGTCTCTAAGAACTTTACCAATACCTTACTCCGAGAACCAGCAATTGCAATATTATTGTAGTATAAAATAGCGATTGCTACTTTTAGATAAAATACAATGGCATTTAGCCTGTATATATTTATTTTTATCGAAAGAAATTCTAATAAACATTTATTACCGGTAGGTCACGTGATGCCACATAAATGGGTCAATGCCATGACAGTAGACAGAGGTTCATGGGGGTTCAGAAGAAATGCTGACTTGAGTCAGTACTACTCCATAGAAGAACTCTTGGAAGAAGTGATTTACACCATAAGGTTATTTAGTGTATCCAACATGGAATACAAACATTAGTGCAGCGTTCGCGAACGTTCCCTCCGTTCAACTGGTCTCCGATCTATGCTTTTAAAAATATTTTCTTTTTCAGTTTCGGAGGAAACATACTCATCAATGTCGGACCAACATCCTGGGGTACTATCTCCCCAATCTATGAAGAAAGATTCCGTCAGTTAGGGTCTTGGCTCAAGGTCAATGGAGAGGCAATCTATAAAACTACACCCTGGACACACCAGAATGATACAGTGACCAATAGGGCATGGTCAGTATTATAATGTTTCTGAAGTCCTCATATCTTCTGTACAGACAATCTTTTTCTTTCCTAGAGCGTATTTTCCTATCTTGTGTTTGGTCATCAACAAAATTACTTTAAGAAATCACTCTGATTTTACACACAAGTACTCTGAAGTAAATATTAAAAAGGGGATACTCACTCCTCCATGGCACCTGATCCCATCTCTGATATTTTGGAGGTCCTCGTCAGTTTGCTCTGCTCCTATTTTGTATTGTTTTATGGACTTAATAATAAGAAAAAAAAGAGTTAAGATAGTAGAACGGAGAGTAAAGCATTAAAAAGATATTATCTACTTTGGAAGTTGAAATTCTTGACGCAATTTTTTTTTGAATATTTTTGGAGGGGAGATATTGATTTTCGATTTTTTTTAATCGGCCCCCAAATTTATGTTTTTTTTCTGTTTCTTTTTGTTTTATTTGATGATATACACCTGAATAATATGAATAATTAATGTCTTTGTTTTATTGTGTGCATTATTCTATAAAGGTATACTGCATCAAAAGCTGACAAGAACACCATTTACTGTATGGTTTTGGATTGGCCTTCGGACAATGAAATTATTCTTGGAGCTCTGAAAGATACAACCGTCTCTAATGTAACAATGCTTGGTACAGATGCACCGATGAATTTTACGCCAGATTCATCAGGACTGAAAGTTGTATTTCCCGCCCTAAATATTGGAAAGATGCCATGTCTGTGGGCGTGGTCTCTAAAGATCACACTCAAACAATAAACAGGAAGTGAAGCAATAATTAAATTACGTGTATAGCTCCTGTTCACTGTGGAACGTAATGATAATAGTTCTGGTGTTCAATATGTAGGGTACAACCATATTGCAGATGTTAAATATTTATGTGCAATATTGAAAAACAATCAATGTGTTATAGGTATTCATGTATAAATAACTGACATAAAAGTATTAAATTTAAAATTAATTTTTTTCAATGAGGGATATACATATATGTACTATACAAAATATGTCAAAGAAAAGTAAGTTAAAAGTAACGTGTTTATTTTTTTAATATATGCATGTGAAAAAAGCTGTATTTATTATATTGAAATGAGAAAAAATAAAATGTCAGATTTTACATACCACAGGCAGTTGTCTATTTCGTTTTTAAAATGTGCGGTAAGGTCTGGCATTCAAATATACTAAAACATGTATAGCATTCACGGGTTTGTTCCGAATAAATAACAGTATTTACTTGTGTACATTTCGTATGGTATCATTTTAAGAACAATCTTTTAATCATAAATTACATATATATTTTTATCAGTTTCATTTTTCAAAGAAATCAACAAAGGATCTTTCCCGGGAATTTAAACACCGACCGTGTGGACCTTTAATTGAGTTCATCGTACTTTCGTTTTTGTGTTTACAATTAAGTAAGCCCAAAAAGAAGATGAATTTCCTTCTGAACTGCCTTGTGCCATTATTATTTACACTGTCATTCATAGACTGTCAAAAATACAAACCGACTTGGGAGAGCATAGACTCGCGGCCATTGCCAGAATGGTATGATGACGCTAAAATCGGTATGTTTATTCACTGGGGCGTCTTTTCTGTGCCTGCGGTCCATAGCGAGTGGTTCTGGTGGTATTGGAAGGGACAGCCACAAAATGACGTAGTGAACTTCATGAAGAAGTATTACCCGCCAGATTTTACTTATGCAGATTTTGCCAAGGAGTTTCGAGCGGAGTTTTATGACCCGAATAAATGGCGGGAAATAATCCTTGCCTCTGGTGTAAAGTAAGTTTAAAGGCCTCTAAAATGTTTCGTCAAGCACAATCATGAAGCATTAACTATATCCTACGAGACACCAAATGAATTCGTAGAACTTACCACAAAAATGAGATAAAACATATGCATAATTTAACAGTTGATATTAAGAACTGATGATAGAAAGATTATTTTTTCTTTGGAGGAGACTAAATATCATGTCACAGGCTAAGAAAAGTGGATCATTCTTAGAATTTTTTTTACTTCTAAGACTTGAAAAATGAAATAAACTTGGAAAATATAAGTAATATATTTCAATAAAATAAAAAATATGGGCAAATCACACTTAGTAAAGGTTTACAGGTGAAAACAACTTTCAGAACATGTTAGCTTGGTGGTAAAAGTGTAATATAAACTTTGAAAAAAAATATACCAAGCCAGATGAATTTTATGAGGAAAAACAAAAAGACAAAAAAATCAGACAAATCACACGGGCTGATTTTTACCATTTTGCTTTTCCTAATAAATTGATATGGCTTCGTATATTTTTTCTAAAGTTTATATTACACGCTTAGCACCAAGCATATTCTGAAATTTTATCAAATATAATAGCAAGTGAACCAAGTCCTTTGTTTTTATCTGTAAACATGTACTGAGTGTGTTATGTCATTATTTGTCATTTTATTGAAATATTACTAATATTTCCAAAGTCTATTTCATTTTCGAAATCTAAGGAGAAAAAATTCTAAGAATGATCCATTTTTCTAAACTGGTGACATGATATTAAGTCTCTTTCAAAGAAAAAAATGTTTGTTTCATATGTCCTTAAACCTAGATTTATCCGATTGTACACTATATTTTACAACTGTAAACTATTGTTAATTAAGATTTGTTAACGCATATAGTTTTCATCTGTAAAACTTCATTAATCCGTAAAGTTTTCATTTGTAAAACTTCAGTAATCGGTTGAAAAGTGTATAGTTTACGAAATCAATGCTAATTTAAGTTCAACTCTGTAAATAAAATTCGTAGCAATAGCGGGCGACAATATTTGTGGATATCTTGCACCTTTTTCCATTATTTCACTTATTTCTACTAGCAAAAGGCTATAGATGAATTAATAGCAATAAGATTAATATCTGTATTTTGCTCACAAAATGATAACTTTATAACAAAAAATGCATTGAATACTTGTAGATCTACAAAACACTTTTTTTTTGAAAATTTAAGAAACGTTGAGACAGAAAATAAATAAATTAAAAAAAATTGACAAAATGATGCAATTTGAGATCTTATAATTATGAACAAAGAACATTTATGATTATGTATTCTCTGTATTGTGTTTTGCATTTAAATATATAGTAAAAATTATAGTAAAAATTTAACTTATTAGTTTCTTTTTCTTTCAAACTGGTGAAAAAAAAAATCAAAATTTCTAATAAAAAGCCAATTAACCCGCCCTTCATTTCAACAGTGGGTTATTAACATTGTTAATTAAGATACTCTATTAAGCAAAACTTTTCTATTTTAAATTGTACATATTGATGTCTGAGTTTTTGAAAGTGGGAATAGGTGGACTTGTATGCAGTGAGGAAAGCTGCATATTATCGTTTTGTATTTTGTCGTTGGCGACAATATATAAAACGACAATGTGTACAGTGGCATTCCTTGAACTTCATCCTGTAATTAGTCGAGGATTGCAAGCAGTTAGGATACTGACCCCGTATAAGGTAGATATTGTATCTTCTGATAACCGAATGACAATATCATTAGTACAAGTATATATGAATGACTCAATGGAACAAAGACCAACCGCCTAATGTGAATGTCATGTAAAACGTTAGTTGGGGAATGGATTGATAGTTTTACGTAGCTAAATGTAGACCTATAAACTACCAAATCAGCATGATCAGTGCAAAAGGAATTTAGAGATATTTAATTCAAGAGACATTTAAGGTGTAATATTATTGATTTTCTAAGGAAGAGTTTGAGCTTTTAATAAGCAAATACGATACCGATATAATTTCTTTCTTGAAGAAAAATTCATGTGACATATAATAATAAGAGTTCGAGAGAAGTCGTACCTAATAAAGAATTTGATTAAAAAAAGAAAAAATATAGATTTACCCGTATTTCATCTTATTACAATATCAATTAAAATGTTTGACAATTAGGTACGTGGTTTTGACATCAAAACATAGCGAGGGGTTCAGCAATTATCCAACTAATGTAACGTATCAGTGGAACTCTAGAGATGTAGGACCCAAGAGGGACCTTATGGGTAAGTGTTTGTACGAAAATCCTGCTACACATTTTTTTTTCATTTCTAAATGAAATTAAATTGAAAGACATCCATGAAATATGATGTTATCAAACAATTATCCTGCTAAAAAATCCATTGAAACAATTACAAATCAGGAGCAGAGAACACAAGGACATCTAAAGTCATCTGAGGCTGGATCAGGTGCCATGGAAGAGTAATTATATCTAAGTATCCCTCCCGAATAAATTGTGTTATCTCTATCGCTAAAACCTTGGAGATTCCATGCACTCGAATCCAATCAAAATGTATTTTTCTTCTCTGTTTTCTATCCATTCTGTTTTTCAAATATTCTGTTGATTTAAACTTGATCGGCAATTCTCGGCCTCGAACCCCGGCCATGACCGAAGTCATTAAGAAACAGATAGCACCTGCTCCTTCGCCAAGCGCTTTACACCTAGAAGTGAAAGTTGCGGGTCCTTCGGATGAGACCTTGAAAACCGATTCCTGTGTCACGTCAGACGTTGGCACAATAAAATTCCATCACTGCCCAATGGCTCTGAGTGCCCAGTAAAGGTCAAGATTTGAAGCCCTTCACCGGTATATAGTGACCTTTCTATATGAGTGAAGTATTCTCGAATGGCAGTAAAACAACATTCAATCAATCAATCAATCATTAAACCATGATAAGTTCTCAAATAATAATATTCAACAACAAAGAAAATGAAATACCCTATGTCCGTTAATTGAAACTTTCTGACGGTTACCCAAAAATTAGTCATGATTTCTTTCATGGACAATATAATTAGTTAATTATCTATGAAACGAGTCAGTGAAAGTTAATTTCCAATAACGTTTTCTATTTCATGTTAATTATATCAATTTCTGCTAAGTTTGATATAGATAGTGTCTTTGAATCAGAGGCCCCTGTTTTCAGGGATACAGAACTTGAAGATGGTAATGTATAAAAATGAATTGTTTGAAATCTACTCCTATTGATTTATCAAGTAATTTTGATAAGCACTCAGTGTGCCTTTTCAAAAATTGTGCAATGTGAATTGATGGTTTAGTGACAGAAATGTGTGGTAAAAACTCTCTTGATCAATTATCACAATACTTTGTAAAATTATTTAACACTATATTAGAAACAGGTACTTTTCCAAGTGAATGGGTAAAGCTAATCATATAAACAATTGCTAAGTGTAAAGTATAACAGAAAATTATAGAGGAATATCATTACTGAATGTCATCAGTAAAATTTTTACCAAATTTTGAATAACATTTGAAAGTTGTTGCATGATGCTCAGGGAGTATTGTTTGAACAACAGTCTGGTTTTAACATCTATTCTACTATTTTATAATTGCTTTGTTCTTCAAGCAAGTGTATATAAATATATTGTAAAAGCAAAGGTAGAATGTATTGCATGTTTATAGATTTTTCAAAATATATAATTGTGTTCAACATAATATTTTATTGTATACCTATTCAAGAAAGGCAGTCAGTACAAATATTTTATTGCTTTTAAAGTCAATGTATACAATTTGTATCATGTGATAAGAAACAATATCATTTGTTCAAGTATATATGAATTCAATGTAATATAGATTAACCACCTTGTATGTTAACGTCCTTTAAAATCATGTTTAGTTGGGTAATGGAGCAGAATTATTTCAAGGTGTTAAAACATATATATTGATGAGACATATTAAAAGTTATTTAATTCAAGACACATTTAAGGGTAATATGAAAAAGGGAGAATTTGAGCTTTAATAAGCAAATACAATACAGCTATAATTTCTTTCCTGAAGAAAAATTAATTTAAATATAAGAAGAAGAGTTCGTAAGAAATCATACCTTAAGCATTTGGTGAGGAAAAAAGAAATTAAAGAAATGGTTTTTTGATCCCAAGATCAATTGAAATTGTATCATTTTACAATACCTAGGGTTATATTTTACAAGTACACATGTCATGGGAATTGACAATTATCCAAGTCTAATGTGTGTGTCAGCAGAAAAAGCATTGTTTATTGTATATAAATTTATGAAGATGTACAATGCATCATATAAACAAATTTTTTGCATTTTTGATAGAATGATTGTAGAAAATTCTCTCTTGGTGCTGAAATATGGGGATATGAGTTAATAAGCTAAAAATATTGAAAACATACAAAGTTTTGTAGAAGACACAGACTCTAAAAATCAAGTTTACCTGAAATAGTTGCTATGAAAGAGAATTACAGTGGAGATATCCTCTTATGGTACAGTACTTTAAGAAATTTATTGCATATTTTTAAAGATATTTTGTATTGTTTAACTTGTGATAGATACCCAAAAAGATGTTACTTATTATTACTTCAGTTAAATAATGTAGGTAGAATTAGAGGTAACTGGGCGTCAGAGGTGAAGTCAATGTTATTTAGATATGGATTCCACTGTGTATGGATTTATCAAGGTGTAGGGGATAATGTATTATTTTTAAAAGAGTTTGTTCTCCTTCCGGATAACTATATGCAAGAATGGCACTCCTCATTGAGCTCTAACAGTAATTTTTTTTTTTTGTAAATTCAAAATTCTTTTTGAATCGGAGAGGTATTTAGATGTTATAAACAATGTATCTTTTAGAGAATCACTTTGTAAATTAAGAACCTCTAGTTATTGTTTGGAAATTGAACATGGTCGATTTAAAGGTATTCACAAGAAAATTTTTTGTCTCTTCTGTCAAATAGCAAATAAAAATTTTATTTAAAATAAAGTCACTCTCTATAAAATTGTGAATTATATATCGATATTAGCAGTAAAGCAATATTTTGAATCAATCTATCAATCATTAAAAACACTGTGAATATGTTTATATATGGAATAATATTAAACAACAAATGAAAATGAAAATTTTCTTTTTTAGCTTTTAAAGAGAGGAAAATTAGTTCATATGAGAACTTTAATACGTGATAATATATAAGTATATATATATTTTTTTCCATATATATTTATTTTTTTTCATGGTCAAAACAATGTGTTAATTTACATTAAAACATGATTGTACTTTGAAAGTTTATTTTAAATAACTTAATACAATTTTATCTTAATCTTATATCAATTTCCAAATAAATGATCATTTCTAATGTTTATTATGTTCTCAGTATATATTATTAATAGGTGAATTACAGAAAGCACTAAAAGGTACAGGCGTGAGATTTGGAGTATACCATGCCATGATTGAGTGGTTTAATCCAATATGGCTAGAGGATCAAAGGAATAATTTAACCACTCAAAGATATGTTAAGGTGCATACTACATGTACTCAGAAATAAGTTAAAAAGCGTACCATATATACTGAGAGATTCAGAGATGTGCGTACTAAATGTACTCAGAAATAAGTTAGTTTTTACCATATATACTCAGAGATGCAAAGATATGTTAAGGTATGTACTACATGTTCTCATAAATGAGGGATATGTTTAGGTGCGTATTTACTACATGTACTCATAGATGAGAGATATGTTTAGGTGCGTACGTACTACATGTAATCAGAGATATGTGAAGTTAGGTTCTATATGTACTTGGAGAAAAGTGATATCTTAATTGGTCAGTACATGTACATGTAATTGCGACATTAGAGAAATAATGTGCTTGATTGAAATGTTTTAAAAAGACATTTTATTGATTTTTACTCCAATTTAAATATTACTCTCATCATATTATAGTTATCACTAATGGTTCTTCTTTCAGGATTACATACATCCCCAACTTTATGAAATAATTAATACCTACAAACCTGACATCTTGTGGAATGATGCAGGTTGGCTGGCTCCAAGTTGGTACTGGAATGCTACCATATTTCTAGCCTGGCTGTACAATGAAAGGTAAAGTCATTGATAAATTAGAACCAAACAACAAGGTTTAAACACCTGTAAATAAAAAAAACCAATTTCTTCATTATATTATATTCTATGTAATACCAAAATGAAGTACAGATTGATGGATCTAACATTTTAATAAATTAATTATAATGGCTATGTTTATATTCAAAGTGTAAGAGTATATTTATTTTATAGTCCTGTCAAAGATTATATACTGGTAAATGATCGATGGGGGTCCGATTGCTTTTGCAAACATGGTGGATTTTGGACTTGTTCCGATCGTTTCCACCCAGGTAACTGCTATCATGTTTATAAAACGAGAATTTAAGTGTCACATCTTTTCACATATCGTTAGCCTTCGGAACACTGGCTAATATTGGTGTTTTAGGTTGGTTCAGAATGTTATGTAGAAAATAATTTTTTATTATTATGCTTATAAAATACATGTACTCATTAATAAAATACAGGGTAAATCATACAAATAAATAATCATACTAATTGGTGATTTACTCTTTAAAAATCCAAGCCGCTCTGATGAAAAATCATATTTTTTTCATGTTAAAACTCTCATCATTTTAAATTACTGCTCTTCAATCTAATAAGCTAGTCAAGATTATTTCATATTTTAATTTTTTTTTCAAGTAGAGTAGATATGTGCTGTATTTTATTACTACATGACTGTAAGAACGTAATGAGATGCAATTCTATATATATTACATGAATACCCTTTACCATATCACATCCTGTCTCAGCCCTCAACTAATATCAGTCTTCAAACCTTCGACTCTTGCTTATATTGGTGTCACGGGCTGTTACAGGATGTAGTATTAAAAGGTTGTGTATTATTCTCTATATTTTTTTACAACAATTTTTTGTACTGAAGTATCCTTCGATCTTAAAATTGTTATTTTTACATGCTTTAAGCAGATCATGCAATCTAATAAGTTTTTTTTATATTATTTTAAAACGTCATGAAAAAATATAAATATTCCTTGAAATGTAAGATACTAGGTATGTCAGTTTAATACAGTGTTTTAATTTAAGCAAAGGAACTATTGTATGTAATAAATATCTAATATTCTCTGTGATCTACATATTGATATCATTTCCACATTGTGACATCACAAACATGGACCAAAACATTTCATTACATATTCTATTTAAAGAACATGTGCATGATTCTTTATGTGCCAAATTTCAATCTGACTTGAATTGTGCTTTTGCAAATATAGAGATAGTTCGTGAACATTTTTAAAATCTTCCCTCGTATGTTTCTTCAATAATTATAATTAGGCCATGTGATGCCACACAAATGGGTGAATGCGATGACAATAGACAAATATTCCTGGGGTTATAGAAGAAATGCTGACTTATCAAATTATAACACTATAGAGGAATTGTTGGAGGAAGTCATTACTACAATAAGGTAGGTTATATTTCAGACAGATACAAAAAACTACATCTACCTAATTTTTTAATCTGTGGTGAAATCAGAATAAAGGAAAGTACGCATGTGTTGAAAGAATTAATGATCATGACTGTTTGACATTTATTATGGTAAACAGAACTAGACAATAAATGACCATATACTCGAGTATGTATATTAGTACTTTTATCTGACATAATTAAAAGTTTTATGTAATTGTATTCGTCGATATGATAAATAATAGTAATTGTGTGAAGTAATAATTAAAAGAATGTATATTTTAGATTTAAGAATAAGTTATTTCTTGTGCATTATTTCTGTTTATTTAGTTTTGGTGGAAACATACTTATCAATGCTGGACCAACAGCTTGGGGGACCTTTGACCCAATTTTCGAAGAACGTTTCCGACAATTGGGATCTTGGCTGAAAGTGAATGGAGAGGCTATTTATAAAACAACCCACTGGATACACCAGAATGATACTCTGTCGAATAGAGCATGGTAGTGTCATGTTGTAAATTTTGAATTCACTAGGGAGTGGGTAAATGCAAAACTTAAAAAATGATAAATAGTTATCATTTAGAAAAGTTTGTAATTGCCGGTACTTCCCCTTTGTAAATTCTAATTTACAACGTGATAGTAGGATTGTTCTGATTTCAAACAAAAGATTAATAATTATGCCATTTGCTAAACTAGAGACATCAATTCAAAAACTGAAGAAAATTACCATTATACCCTATATTAATTTTGAAATACCCTGGTACATACATGTATCATATGTTGAAAAGAAAATAGTTTTTACCAAGTTCATAATTTTTACCTGCTATCTAACTATATTGAAATTTGCATAATAAGTTTATAAAAAGTATTCGAAGTAAATACAGTTACAGTAGTGACCTTTTATTGTAATCAGAAATTGCTATTATTTGAACACAGGTACACGTCATCGAAAACGGAGAAGAAGACCATTTATTGTCTGCTACTAGACTGGCCAGAAAACAACGAACTACTACTTGGATCCCTGAAGAGTTTTGAAGTCGATTCTGTTTCAATGCTTGGGACTGACGCAGATGTATATTTCGTCCAAGAATCGCAAGGACTCAGGGCGTTATTTCCTATGATAAATATTCGTAAAATGCCTTGCAAGTGGGCCTGGGCTTTGAAGATCGTATTGAAATAAATGCAATTTTCAATCTTGTCACAAATGTATTACCTTCGGAAATAAGGGAAAAAAGAAATTTTAGATTTTAAGATTTCACTAAAATGAACGTTGCTTCATTTCTTTTTGTCCCATATTTGAAAACAAGTATAATGAGGATTTGAATACAACATGGCATAATAGAAAATTGAGACATATAGAAAAAAGAAAAAAAAATTAATCCAATGGCTTTAGCTTTGAAAATATATTGAAATGAATATTGTTTTTTCTCTTATTTAGACCCATTCTTGAACAATAAAAAAAAAGAAATAAATAGATGTTTTGATAAAAAAAAACAAACACACTATCTAATAGAAAATGAAGACATGAAGCAATGCAAATTCATTATTATTTCTTAAATATTTTGTAATTATAATCATCAAACATGCAATGAGTTGTGCAATTTGTTAAAACAAACTTAAGCCTTGGTGTAAAAATTCTTCTCCCATTTTATATATATATATATATATATATATATATATATATATATATATATATATATATATATATATATATATATATATATATATATATATATATTGCTATACATGTAAAGGATACATATTTAATTTTTTAAATTGACCTAATTCGCAGACGGATTAAGTGGATATCAAAATATTTAAACGATTGTGGTTTTTTATTTACATTTCTTTTTGAATGAAAAATCCATTAGATAGTGCCACATTGCCTCTCGTAATTTACCGGTATCTTATTGAATGTTTTCTTTGTCACAGCAATTTTGATTTATTTGATTTTTTATATTATTTCTTAACGAGTTGTTGTCTTTTTGAGCATATATTGATCACCATTTCTTTTGTGCATCAGGTGAGCATCTACAGTACCTGGCCATAAGTCTGTCATAAAATGGCTGACGTAACGTAACGTGAACAACGTGAACGCAAAATTCAAAAATAAAAAAAATTCTATAAATATTAAGCACTTACCTTTTTATCTCTAGTATTTAGTTGCATGACCCTTAGATTTAATAACTTGTCGAATTCGCCTTGGAATTGAAGCATACAGACTCTGAATGTAGTGCTGAGGCATACCACCATATTTCCTTTACTTTCAAGATGAGGTCTTCACGATTATGAATATTGTGTACCTGTCTCTGAAGACGTATTTTTATGGTTCTCCACACGTTTTCAATTACATTGATATCTGGAGATTGTGATGGCCAAATAAGACATTTAATATCGTTTTCAGTTTTCCATGATTTTGTTGCGTTATTTGGACCGGTGCATTATTTGAAATAAATAGTCACCATTCGGGAAATGGCGCAAAATAACTGGCCATAAATTTGTATCCAAAATGTTAATGTATTTTTGGGAATTAATATTCCCATCTACCTCTGTAAATGTTCCGATATTCGAAATACACCCCCAAAACATCGCCGAGTACTTTCCGTTTCCACGGACGCCAAGACACTCTGGTCGCCATACTTCGTCGGGTCTTCTCCAGATGTAAACGCGCTTATTCTGGTCAATCACAACCACTTTCGTCGCTGAAAATCACCTTTTTCCAATTATTATTCACTGTCCAATGTAATTTCTACATATTTTGCGGTTTACAGATCGAATTGTAAGGGTCTTCCTGGTTTTCCTTTTGTAAAGTTTAAAAATCGCAAACGTCTTCTTACCGTCCGTGAAGAGATAGAACTTGGTAACTTCGATATATATATATATATATATATATATATATATATATATATATATATATATATATATATATATATATATATATTCGATGCTTATTTTCGCTGGATCCGCGCGTCTTGTATTTTTTAGAAACTTGGAAATCCCAGACTGGCTCACAGAAAGAATAGCTGCTATGTCCTGTTGGGTGTATCCACTCTCAGACATAGTTATTATCGCATTTTTCATAGGGGTAGACATTTGTTTACCTTTAGTAGCCATCTTGTCAGTTGCTAAATATTTGACAGATATTGCGTCACTTTTATAAGATGACGTCATAGAATTATTGTATACACTCTATAGAAAGGAACTATTCAACAGCAGCTTGCATAGAGCGATTTATTTACCAGCGCTAAAGAAAAAAAAATGGCTTCCTGAATTTTAATATTTCAGCAGCCATTTTTATGACAGACTTATGGCCAGGTACTGTATGTATTTAACTCATTTAATCATACATTGTGTAGAAAAATATTCTTTTTTTAAATAAAAGTAATACAGACAGGAGTAGATTCAGCATCCTATTTTTGTTCATTATTTAGGACGGACATCATCACATTGAATTTACAACTTGATACTACCACTGAATTATACATACTTCAATTTTACTAATGAAACATATGGAGATAACGTACTAATTATATTCTTTTTAAAATCTAAATTATACTAGGAATAACAAACGATTTATTTTCATAATATAATTTTCACGGAATTAACTTATCTCAATATTACAATTTCAATTTGTATATGAGAAATATTACAATGATATTTTCCCTCCAACTTTACAAATTCTTTATATTGTAGGTGACTCAAATCATTTAATATACATAAATAATTATTATGAAGTCACTTATTTTCCTGGTGTTAATTTTCGGTGTATTCTTGGTTTGAATACACCTACAATGTAGTATGCATTTATGTCCACCACAAAATGTAATTTAAATTACATATACATTACTTCTTAACACTATAAATTACATATACATTACCTCTTCACACGACATTGAACACCAGAAATCCCCCATAACATTTTTCTCCTAAAATCTCGAAAATTTCAACTCGCAAAATATGTGATTTTACAGTGCGATGATCTTTCTGTATGTTGTAATGACCTTGAAGTAAGTCTTCAAGGTTGCTAGAGATGATTTTTTACCTGATCCCACCTCTGATGTTTCGGAGGTCCGTGTTTGCTCTGCTCCTAGTTTGTTTTGTTTTATGGACTTTGATATTGAATATTGTTCGTTTTCTCCATATCCTTCTGTAAGTGTTTAGTTAGTTCTAGGATTTTTTTGTATTACATTTTTATGCAGGTTTCATTCTTTTGGATTTTACATTTTATTTCTCATTAAAATTTAAGTTCATTAAAATTAATACACCCTTTCTGAATGAATTTCATGCCATATTTTTTTTAGTCTTGCCATATTATCATTGAAGAGCAATTTCTTGTTCTAAAGGTATTTTTCATCATGGTGCTAACTTGAACGCTTACCATGATAATGTAGTCACACAGCTGATATATTTACGTGATTATTTATATAATTTTGTACATTATGTAATTCGAATTATTTATTCATTTCTTAGATTGATTGTGAAACCATGAACGTTTATTTTTTGTGATATACATTAAGAATTACTTTCGGCTTTATGTTTTTTTTCCAGAAATAAATTACCTTGATTTTTGATATACAAATAGCGTTTTTCTTTCGTTATTTTTTTTATTTGAAGTTCTTCTTAGATGATACTTATTTCTATCTAAGTTACAAAACAGCTGAAAATTATTGTCATAGTTTATTGAAGTGATTATTTAAAATTAGCTTTTTCTTCGTTATATCCAAACCATAGAAATACCTGGACATGCCTATCATTTTTTGATAAGATTTTTTTACTTTAAACAGGATACAAATTATATTCTTTGAAATAAAATTAGTTACTAGTAACTATCGCCTTACCTATTCATTGAAATATTTGAAAATTCAAGGTTTGTTGATTAAGCAGGCCTTTTTAATTGACATTTTGATTATAAAAAGTAACAAAAGATCACTTGAAAGTCAGAAAAAAATACAATTCCATCACTGAAAAATGAAAAGTCTTAATTTATGTTAATTATTAAATTAAGGTGTTATTCTGTCACAGTTTGAAAGCTTATAAAGTTGATATTCTGTTACAGTGTAATATCAGAAATTAAAAAAAGCTAGACTTTTTTGGTATGTGGTAAAAGATAATTCTGGCCTATTATAAAAGAGTAAATAGACCATCTGATAGAAATTGATAGATATTTTCTCCAGATCTATATGTTGTCAAATTGTTTTTAATCTCACAATCCCTGAATATTACGACATCTAATAAAGAAGATCACAGACTATGGTACTGTGTTGCAAAATGACATAGGCAAAGAGAAAATCAAAGAAAAGAAAATAATCAGAAAATATACTCGGTATACATCTTGTTGTTAGATACTGAATTTTAATTTTCTCAAGAGGTAAGATTTTTTGACACTTTGACTTGTCCTTCACACTCCTGAAAACATATAGGAAAATATCCAACTCAAGAATGAAATTCCATAATCAACTACAAAACGTAAAATTAAATTCCCTGCTTTTATACTGTATGCTTTTTTAAATGGAGTTTTCTTTTAAAACTACTGATAATAAAATCATAATCAAGAAAGATCTGTTACGTTATATTATTTACATTCACTCTTTATGCTTAATATTGCTGTTAACAGCATCAACATGCAATGGAGAACTCCAGGTCTGTACAAAAATTTCTTTTTCATTAGCTAATGAATTTTGTTCATCTAATTCTGTCGCTCCTACAATTATTTCTTTCATTTTCCTGGTCAAGGAACTGTCATGAGGAAAATTGCTTTGAATCCATTCCGTTGTATAAGCAATATGTTCATCTTGATTTGATATTATCCCATCCACCAATCCAATCTTCAAACATTCCTCTGCCTTTAGCACTTTTCCAGAACAAAGAAGTTTTATCGCCTCTGACCTACCAATTATTTTTGTCAATCTGGTGCCTCCTCCAAATCCTGTGGCCAATCCCATTTTTAACTGAACAAATCCTATTTTAGCACTCTCTGTAATTAGTCTAAAGTCACAAGCTGTACAAAGTTCTGCCCCACCGCCTAATGCCAGACCACAAATCGAGGCCACACTTATTAAAGGTAAGTTTTTCAGTTTTGTGAGCATTCCTTGCATATGTGTGCACATTTTTTGACCACCTTGTTTGTTTAAGATTTTTCTGATAAATTCTAGATCTCCTCCTGAACAAAAGTCATGACCATTTCCTGTTACTATCACAGCTTTACCATCGTCCCATTTCTCTAGTTTCTGTACTATATCTTCCAACTGAACCATCATAGATCCTAAAATGTAAAAAAAAATATCTTGCTAATATACCATTTGAAAATTAAACAAAATTACATTTACATTTGACATCCAATTTTGATTTCACTGAGTTTTAAGTTTTAACTTCAATAATACTGATTTTAATCTTTGAAAAGATAAAACCATTTTTCCTGTAAATATTCTTGTCATAAGTATGAAGTGATAGGTTTAATGATTATTAAAACCAATTTTGATTATCTTTCTTAAGTTTAATCAGGATGGATATGTGAAAAGTTTTATGACTTAAATCAAAGTACGACACCACATGAGGCTATTATTATGAGGAATAAATGATGATCTCGATCCATTGTTTGTTTTTAAAGTAAGCACGAGGGATTATCAAAAAGTTCGTGGACTGAGGCTATAAAATTAGTACTATGTAGTCTGAGCTTACAAAATTTTTAAGGAACATAAAACAACAAAAAATAAAGAAACGTTGAAAATTTTAGCCTGATAACTTCATTATTTCCCAAATTATAATAAAATAAAAACGACAATATATCATCACCCAGCGCCGTCGCCGTTTTAGTTTTATGACATCCGACAACGTCATTGTTTTTTCAATGTCCGCTTTTTCTACCTCATACACTTATTTTGATGAGATTCCCTGGAAGGACTTCAATCCGTCTTCTTTATATGACCTTACAATGTCATAAACAGCGGCTTTCAATGCATATACTATTGCAAATAGATTTATACAATGGCAGAGATCCTCGCTTGATTGTGCCAGCATATTTTGCTTTTTGGAGTTTAATATCTGCAACACATGATCAACGTCATTTTTGACGTGATTGATTTTTCACACCTTGACTACAAATCGACATTAACTGTGCATTCTCTTTCTCTCTGAATCTATTTTGGCATTAAAAACAAGTAATCTGGATGCACATTGTTTCTCCGTAGCCAGTTTAAACATTTCCTAGCTTTTAGCACTTTTCCAGAACACAGGTTTTTTATCGCAAAACTTGATAGAATGTTTTTGAAAAGGAAACCCCTTCCCCCTTTTGACGTCATTTTCAAGGCAATATTTGTTTGAATACTCCACGTAAAAATTACGATAAAATTTCAGAGAACTTCCAGAATGAGGTAAAAATTTAATATTTTATGGAACAATTGTGTCCCAACACATACCTGATTTAACGGGATATTTGGATGTCAAATGTTTATATCAAAATAGTTTTTCTCAGTTACACTTAGATCGAAAAAAACCCCGTCGTTTTCGAGGTTGCGCCGCATGCACATACCATTGCTTACAAAAACATTACTAATTTATTAAAAAATAAAATTTATGATTTGTGCTTTATTCTATAGAAAGAAAAGATGATGATAACTATGTATTTTAAAATTCATATATTTTGATTTCAATAAACGTTACGAAATATATTTTATTAAACGCACAAAATATATACAATTCTTTATAATCCTGCACAGAGAAATGGCTAAAAATTAAATTCCACTCTCCCTACATTTAGATATTATAACAGGATGAATTAGAAGTGTTCAACAGTTTGTACAAAATAAATAATAAGTAAATTAAATTAAATAAACTCTCATTTAATATATAGACTGCTACATTATTGTTTATACAAATAGTTTTAAATTAAAATGTGTACAATCAGTTAAATTTCCCAGAATGCTGAATATATAGAATGTACAAAATTCAGAAAATAGATATTCATTTTCAGCATATATTGAACTGTTTTGTTATTACAACGACTTCTATAGTAAATTTTGTGGAAAGTATTTATTTTTCATTACACTCCATGTTTTTCAAATCATTTAATCAATTTGTTTCACACAAAATCGGCATTCATAGATATTAAATAATGATGTGTATTTTCTACCTTACATAAAATAATGGACTAGATATTTTTTACATTAATAATAGATTCTAAACGTTTGAAAAGATAAAACCCACTTGCAATTGTGCCGAAGCCGTGTATGCAGTATATTGTTGCGTCTTTTACCAGAATTAAAATATGTCGGAGCTTCTGTTATTTTTTGTTTAATTTTATTTTTGAAAACAGACAAAGAGCTCGAAAGTCTGGTATTTATTCATTCATGTACCTAAAGCGGTTTTAATTTTATGGCGCTATTCCACGAACTTTTTGATAGCCCCTCGTAGATTATTAAAATAAATGATTAAAAAAAACTAAAGATCTGGGAGAAAATCAGTTTGGATGATAATGATTGATCTGTGCAATTTAAAAAAATTATCATCATAAAAGCTTTATTTGAACTTCACTAATAAGATTTCAATTAAAGCTTCTGTTTGATAAGAAAATAAACAACAGTAAATCACTTAAGTAGACTGTAATTGCTAAAATGAACTTGCTGTCTGATGTATTTAACAAACCAGTTTGAAAATTATCAAATAACAAGGTATACCTGATAAAGCATTTTTCTTTCCTGGATTATCCAAAGTAACTACAGCTATACCAGTGGCATCGTTTTGTTGTAATGTCACCTGTCCACTACCTGTGAAAAGCATAGATCCACCACTGTATGGTCGTGTGCAAAATACTGGCCTTGGACAAATGCACAGCTGTCTGAAGGTTTTTAAGAGCATGTTACCTGTGTAAAATGAAAGATTAATAAATTATGCAATTAATTATATGCTAATCCAAAATAAATAAAGGAATGATTTTTTTTTCCTAAAAAGCACCTGCAAATTCCCCTAAGATTCAAAGAAGAAGAAGTGAGAATTACGTTGTATTAATCATTATATTAAATTAAAATTAAATTAATATTAAATATTAAATTAACTATTAAATAAAATAATATTGAATTCCCCACACCTTTTTAATAAGATGTAGCCTTTGAATTGCCTAGTATATAGAAACTATGCAAAATACCCAACCCCCCCCCCTTTTGATTACACAATTTAAAAAAAAAATACGTGCAGAAATATACTGCAAATCGTTTTTAAGCTGCAAAATTTATTATATAAAAAAGTATAAGCATGTAGTTTCCTAATGATAAAAAATGAAAAATAAAGGAAATTACCTTTTGAAATTTTTTTTTAAAGCTATTTGATATTTGAAAGTTTTAAAGTAATAGCTTTGATTTCTAATGTTAAAATATTTATATAAATATGTATCTACCTTTCCCTATTATTAATCTCTTGTGTTTTCAGTGACTGAAATATTTGTGAAATTGAATGACCAGTTTTGACAAAAATCTAAACTTCCCTAAAACTATTGCTATTTTCCCCCTACATTTTAAATGTTTTCTGCTGCATTTTGAAATGTAATCGCATAAACAAAAATGCCACTTAACCAACTTAATATACCAGGGTATTTTAAAGCTGACATCTTTAATAAACAGTAAAAAAAAGAAAGCATACTCATATATTGTTTGAAACTTTGATTTTGTTATTGCTGATCTTTGTTCAAAATGTATTATGAGTATAAATAGTGTAATGGGTAGCCTTTGAGGTTATGCCTGCCATCTATGAATCTTAGGGGATAGTGTAAAATAGACTCTCCAAAAGAGCTGATCACCCTTTTTTTCTAGTCATTGAAATAATTATTTACAATCTTGCAACAAAAAGTATCTCTGACTGAATCAGTCAAAGAGATAACTCATAGAAGAAAGAAGATGAAAGTAAACTTCTCTGTAAAAAGAATTTAAAAATACTAAGGAAAAAAGGTTTTGAAAAATTGTTTTATGGATATTTATTTGAAAGTTTTAAATATGGTGAGGTCTAATGTTCAAGTTTTTATGGGTAAAGAACCTGGTACTTCACAAAAAAAGGAAGTTTGGCTGTTCCAGGAACATAGTGCAAGTTACCTAGCCCCATGACCTACCACTTATAATCTGTTAATTATTTACATAGATTCAATCAATTATAACTCTATTATATAAAGTAAAAAAAGTACAGAAAGAGCTTCAATCTTTCCTTGTGATATACTCATGATACTGACGCATCTACTTTTTATTGTTGGGTAGGAGTAGGGATTTAAACTACAAGTTACGCGAATACAGACAAACAGCTATACATGTAGTATATTCTTTCTAGAGAAGTAGACAGGCTTTCGCCTACAACCACTTCATTGATGTAGGCGAAAGCCTGTCCACTTCTCTAAATAGAATTAATACATGCAGTAAATAAATTTGTGCTGAAGTGCAATTTACAAATAAATGTGCCTCTCTCACACCCGTATATGCACAACAGACATCTGAGGTTCTCACTGCTGCATTGGTATGGATTTATCATATAAACAAAAAAAACCCAATCTTTTTATTCGGATTATCGTTCTTTGATCCTATCCGTTCTCGTATTAAAGGTTGAAATGCACTGCACTCTGAAAGTTAAAAATGTATTCACCTTCCATTTTTTACGTTATGTGACCCATTCCTTATTACAGGGCATATCATTTGATAGATTTCAACTATGCAATAATAAATAAATTACATACAGTAATTGACAAACGATTCACTAAAATGAAAACACACCTGTCAACTTTTACTACGTTTCAACACTGGAAGTAAATAATAGGATCCTAATTTGAGAACTAACCGTGCGGACTTAAAAGAGCCGAGAAAAATTAAGAGTTTTATATAATGCATCTGATGTTTGTATGTATTTTTTTTATTTTAAATTATTATCATTGAAGTTGTCATGTTTAAATAAAGCTCTATGGTTCAGTCTATTTGCTCTTAGAGTGATTCATTTATATGCAACTAAAACACGGTAACGCATGTTTACGTTACTTAATTGAATACCGCGCGGTATGATAATTTGTCGGCATGGCCAGGTGTGTTATAGGATCGAAGACATCCCAAAATATGAATTTAGTGCTTGTATTTATATTCTCTAAATTTTCCTCTTCATAATTATTTATTTCGTTAATCTTGAATGTGAATATAGCGCCCTTCCAAACTGGTGTGCTTTAAAGACGATAAAACATTTTTTACGTTGCATAACATAGTTCTTTGATTCTGTATTTTGTGTATTGTGTGTTTTTCCAAGGTTGAAATGCACTGCCTCTGAAAATAAATATAAAAAAATCCATTTGTTACGTTATTAAAAATGTCATGTCACTGTATTATAAAAAGATATCTTTTTATATACAGTAAAATGACATTTTTAAACAAATTAATTACATACAGTAATTTTTTATTTTGATGAGGGTATTCACACACCTGTCAAACTTTTACACAAAATACACCATCCTGAAACCAAGCGCCTATGGTTGCAAAGTTAAATAACGCAAACGAACATTACGAGGAAAAAAGTGACAAATTAATTTTTAACGCATATGTGTGGATTTTTACATTGATTTAACGGGGTTAATATTTTTAATTAAATTGTGTCAAAACAATGTACATTATGGTGTTCCTATAGAGTTTTGAAAATGCTTATAGTTTCTACGGTATATTCTAACGCGCAGTGAAAAGATTTCTAATGGGTTTCATAAAGAAAATTACACTGAATGTATAATATCTTCATGAATTTCCCGGAAAGGTTTTGAAAGGACAGAATAAAAATGAACATACTTACACGTGTATGATTCTTTTGGAATATGTGAATAAATTTTAATATGTATGTGCCGATTATAAATACCGACGTAAAGCAAAGAAAAATGCCCATTAAAATTTATTCAAGAATCTATCATTTATACAGCTAAAAAAGAGAGTTACCGTTTTACTAGTACATGTACGTTCGATCTGTTTAAAGTTTAAATTACATTGTATTTTAGCTAGACTAATAACCATACCTCTAAATCAAACAGAAGAACTAGAGAACTATTTTATTAAAACATGAATATTTTAAATGTGACCCTGAACTGAATCAAATGAACTTGTGTGTCAAGTTCTTAATGTATGCCACATCTTCAGTTCATGGAAAAAATGGAAATTTTTTTAATGGAGAAATTGGGAAGAAAAATTTTCTCCATAATTTTAGACGCATTTCTGGTGATTTGTCTTTGTCGAAATTCGTTAAGTATAAATAAATCTTATATAAAAATTTAAAGTATTTAAATAGATATTGCTGTTTTTCAGTAACAATTGGAAAAAAGACCAAAGGAAAATATCTGACGTAAATAACTCAGTCTGTACATAAAATTTTGTTATTTACCAAAGATGGTTGAAAAACTTCAGTCATTTCATACATATACTAATGCTACATGTAAAGGTTTAATACAAGATTCAAACAAGATGACAAAGCACATTCCATGTCTTAAAGCCATGTAATTTATGATTGGGTTTTCCATTCATTGAAATAAATAATGGATGAAGTTTCTTGTTTTTAATCTTATAAGAGGAGTTTTTCTCATCAAAAAAGTATCATAACAAATTATTATTAATTAATCTTAAGAGGAAAAACGTCAACTTTTCAAAAGTGGTTTCTTCATTGATTATCGAGTATTCATGAATTTAAAAAATGTGAATGCCAACTGAATGATTTCTTAAACGATTGCTTAGAGTTGAATTTCTTGTTTTTAATTATAATTTTCTATTCTTTTCAATAATTCGGATAAAGTTCTTTAAGGACAGATGAAAGAAACAATTTTTTTTCTTTGGAGGAGACTTAATCATCTAACAGATGTAGAAAAAGTGGATAATTCTTTGATTTTTTTTTCTCCTTAGACTTGGAAAATGAAATAGACTTGGAAATATTAGTTAATACTTCAATGAAATAAAAAATACATTTACAAATCATACTCAGTAAAGGTTTACAGGTGAAAACAAATTTCAGAATATAGCTTGGTGCTAAAAGTGTAACACATTGTGTAAACTTTATAAAAATATACAAAGCCACGTGAATTTTTTGAGGAAAAGCAAAATTGAAAGAATCACCAATGTGATTTTTCTGATTTTTCACCATTTTGCGTTTCCTCATTAAATTTACCTGGTTTGGTATGTTTTTGTAAAGTTTATATTACAGTTTAAGCACTAAGCTAACATATTCTGAAATTTGTTTTCATCTGTAAACCTTTACTAAGTATGGTTTGTCTATATTTGTTATTTTATTGAACTATTAACTAATATATTTACAAATCTATTTCAATTTATTCTCAAGACTATAAAGAGAAAAAATTAAAGAATTATCCACTTTACTAAGCCTGCAAGATGACATTAAGTCTCATCTATAGAAAAAAATGTTTGTATCATCTGTCCTTAAGAAACATATTTAATGATAACGCCCTTTTATTTACTGACACCAAAAGAAGATCGATTGAATGTGTTGAATCCTCAATTTATCGTCCAAATTTTTTGATACAAGTGCAAATTTCAGAACCCAATCATTCATTATCATAAAGTAGGTCATCAAGTATAGCTTTAGGGCACTGAGGAATATCCGTTAAACAATGCAATAATTCAACATGAATTTTATGCTATCTTAGTGTTATGTGAAATTACAAGAAGGATGTGTGGATTTTTAAAATTTTAATTTGTTTTATTCCTTAAATAGAACTGAAAATTTTTGCGGGAAAAAACTGCTGATTTAATTTTTCTTTTCTTTTCAAATTTATATTATTTTTTTTGTTTGTTTTGTTTTTATTTTGGTTTTTTTGATAGATATATCCGTATTGTGTGAATATTTTGGAAAACACCATCTAAACCCACTGGAAAGTACGTGTACTAGTATTTAAAACGTGGATATTTTCTGTCATAAAATGATGAACGAAATGTTCGGCGGGAGAAGGTTGGTTTTGTTTTTATTCTTAACCAGGATTATCCTAATAGGGTGCAATGTTGTGAAACTTTCAACCTCTTGTAAGCAAAGTGTCTGTGAATTTGATTGGACGGTTGATTATAAATTCACCATGATGTGGTATAATAGGACATCCGATGAACCAGAATTTCAGCCCGTTTTAATGGACCGTCACCATTATCTCCGACGACGGTCAACGACGCCAAATTGTACTGAGACGTACAACGCTGTTACATTTTCAGGTACAGCAAAATAGAAAGAAATCTTGAGATAGAAATGATGGAATTATATAATACAGAAACTTCTTACAAATTTTCTATTATAATTTAATCTAAAATTTTATTTATCATTGAAAGTAACAGAAGCTGCATGAAAAAGTGATATTGCTGTAAAAATGTTCTTTTGTGAAAAATCTAATTAAATTCATTAAAAATTATATAAATTATATATTATATCAGAAGACATGTATCTCAACAATTACAACTGTTTTAAAAAAAATCAATGTATCATCATTTCGTTTTCTTGTAACACTGGTTCAATTAAACGTTTTAAAGGAAAATGTTAAATCTAAATTTTTACACTTTAAATAGTTAGTTACTATTTGAAAAGCATTAACAGCAGGTCATTTTGTTCCTCAGGCAATAACAGATTACATAAATGAATTTAGTTTTTGATATTTTATTATAATTCTTTGTTGAGAAAATGAAATGGGAAAATACTTGAAAACTTAGTTGTTTTTGATTTGGACATGATATATTATAAGTATGTAATAGAAAAATATACAACCCGGCATTTGAATTTTAAAAAGATAATGAATTTAAAAAAACACAAAGTTTAAATTTTTAATCGTTTAGTGAAATATTCAAGAAATAGAGGCATATGCAACACTAAGAAAAATATTGAAAATATTGAAGAAATTGAAATAAAAGTGCAAACATACATGAAAAGTGACACCTCTTTTCTTACTATTTATTCAAACATTTAAAAATAATAAATATAGAGATTAAAAAAAAATAATCTTGATTTTAAAAAAAATACAGTGTTAATTTGTTGTCTATCATGTTTTTATTCCAGAATTTCAGGAGTTAGTGAGCCCTGGTGATGGTGATTACCGAATGGTGTACGCCATCAATGGACGAATTCCAGGACCGGAGATAGTAGTAACGGAGGGGGATACGGTACGTGTAAACAAACCTTAAAATTCCGTGATATCCTTTTATATCGATCAAATTATACATTTATCTGAAAGGAAAATATATGGATGAAATAGAGTAAACGAACAGTATTTGAGCTCAAAAGTCCACCCAAAGAATACAAATGAAGAGCAGAGCAAACACAGACCTCCAAATCATCAGAAATGCGCATGGGATCAGATGCCATGGAGGAGTAAGCATCCGCTGTCGACCGGTCACACCCGCCGTGTGCTACTTGTAAGCATCGAGGTATCACTTTGTAAATAATAGTCTACAATTGTCAGCAAATACAATTTATCATTGAGCCAAATGCTGACTGACGTTATTCATACTAATTGTTAGTCCATTATTTATACACTGAATTGGCGACGGATTTTTCCGTTATTTCCTGATCATGACAAGGAGCACACGGCAGGTGTGGCCGGTAGGCAGGGGATACTTACTCCTCCATGGCACCTGATCCCACCTGGGAGGTCCGTGTTTGCTCTGCTCTTGTTTTGTATTGTTTCATGGACTTTGAGATTGAATACTGTTCGTTTTCTCCATATCCTTTGTCAAAATCTTGTCTTTTATTGGAAATTGTTCGTACATAGATCATATTATTGCGTATCGAATCAACTAAGATAATAAATCCCGTATGCAGGTGATTAGGGGTAATTGATATATACATTACATAAGTGAGGGAAGTTGACGATTTAGAGTCATCACGTTTGTCATAAAGATATCTCGACAGGTTAATCTAAAATAAACAATATGAAGGAGGTCAGATTCTTCGATTTTTTTTTTTACATCTATTTCAATCTCACTGGGATTAATTGAGTCCAAATTAAAAATATGAATTGAAAGAACAATAGTTAATTGATAATACTTCGTTGAAATATCTAAATAACTAGGTGAATACCACAGCAAGTGTTTTTAAATACACAAATATGTTTGCTAATAACTGACATTGGAACTCTTTGGAATTCTAACAGATTGTTGGAAGATCTGGTTTCCAAAATCTTCAAAGATATTGTTAAACAGAAAACTCCAGAATCTTTTAAATGTCAACATCTGATAACGTATTTTTAAAATAAAAATGTTTTCAACAAAATTATATTGTAATGAACTATTCATCTAAGACAGAATTTTGAATTAGCATCGACTAGAAACAGCAAACATCATTAATTTAGAATTAATATGCAAGCTGTGTTTTGTTCACCAACTTCATATACTGAAAAAGTTATGTTAAAAATTTTATTTTTATTCTTTGATTAACGTATTTGATAATTTGTATAGGTGGTAATTCGTATACGAAACCGATTGAAGGTGGAAGGGTTAACAATCCACTGGCACGGCCTGTTACACAGGGGAACTCCGTGGATGGACGGGGCCTCCATGATATCTCAGTGTCCTATACTGCCAGGCCAGAGTTTTGAATACAGGTAAACCTCAAAACTAATTTTTAATGAACAATTTAGGTCGTGAATTAGGGCTGGGTATAGGCCAGAGATTTCCTTTTGCGATATATTGCTGTATTTATAAATGTATTGCGAAATGTATTGCAATATTTTCAACAAAAATTACAATGGCATTTTTCTATTATAATAAATTTAATTTAAATGCAGATAACTATGATACAAAGTAACCAAAAGGAAACAAAAGTCTCGTTGATTAAAGCAATGCTCTGAGATACACCAATAAAACATCTTCAGTCTGTCTTACTCTTTGTCATAATAACAAACCTTTCTTCTCTTATATTTATATTTAATGATAAAATTCCTTAGTCTACGCAATTTGTCGGTATATAAAAAAGGTATCATAATACGATATTTTTTGACATTGTATTGTAATATACCGAAATATCGATATTTTTGTCCAACCCTCTTGTGAATGATGCAAAACTAAGACATACTGTTCGTTGCCAAATAAATTAAGCTTAAGCGTACAAGAGAGCTTAAAATAAATTCTTGGTACATTTATTTCGGAGGTAAGATAAATATTCGTAGATCAATTAGTTATAATAAATTTACACTATTGGTCATGCATTAGTCTACAATTGCTTTGTGTTAAAAAAAATATCCCTTGTTTTGGGCTGTGAAGGGCTGTATTAATGCAGATAAAGCAAAAATCTAGGAACAATATAACAGTCCAAAATCAGAGTGCGCTCTTATATAAAGCTTGCATCCTTTATATTGATATAAGTTTTTGAGCAACGGATATTTAAGGTGTAATTAATGCCCCCCCCCCCCCCCCCCCCGGTCATTTTTATTGACTTTGTGAGGTATTTATAAAACTATGCCCAGATAAGGGAATTGGATTTTACATGATATGAGTTGATTATTTTTTAATACAGATTTATAGCGGAACCCGTTGGCACACATTGGTATCATGCACATACAAATACAATGAGAAGTGACGGACTATCAGGGGCATTTATAGTGCTGTCGAAACAGGTACTGTCTTCAAGAAATGGTTTATTTTCAATCCATTATAATTTCGTACCAGTGTGGCAACGCACTTTGAAAAAAAAACATTCAAAGTGCGTTAAAATTTGGACCAAATCAAGGCACTTTCAAAAATTTTTTCAAAGTGCATTAAATTTGGGACACACACAACGCACTTTGAAAATTTTTTTTCAAAATGCGTTAAGAGTGTACATCAACATTTTTTACCATGTGGAAATTTAACGCACTTTGAAAAAAATATGTATACAACCAAAATTCTGGACTTAAATTTTAGTAATAGAGCGAATCAATTTGTAATAAATATATCTTTCGAAAAACGTTTTAATTTACATGTATTGCTTTACCCTCATTGAAAACAAGGAGAAGACGAGTATGGATTCTTTAATTCTTATACATAGCCATCAATAGCAAATTGAAAGTTCCCCCAAGGTATTTTTAATTTTTATATATATATATATATATATATATATATATATATATATATATATATATATATATATATATATATATATATATATATATATATATATATATATATATTTATATATTTGCAAAATATGTGACTAACCCCCCCCCCCCCCCCCTTTGTGGTATCATGCACATACAAATACAATGAGAAGTGCCTATGCTAATCCCAAATATATGTATTTGCATAACTGGTATGACGTTGAAAACTTTACAATAAATTTTAACATTAAATGCATTCAAACTGGAAAAAGAAGAAAGTACAGTAAAGCATGTAAGAGAGAAAAAATTTTCAAAATATGGTAAAAACAAATATCACTCACTTTCACATCCTGAAGTGACCTTATCGACAAAAAGTTCTCCAGGTTCATGACAATTATTTTTCATACCTATGATTTTCAAGAATATTGACCAAATCATATACATTCTTTTTTAAAGTGCGTTAATATGGTCGATATCAATGCACTTTGAAAAGAAATTTTATTTTTTTTCAAAGTGCGTTGATTTGGTCCCAAATTTAACGCACTTTGAAATTTTTTTTCAAAGTGCGTAATTTTTCAAAGTGCATTGTAACATACCAGTGATATTGTTTCAGCTCTCCCATGAAAATCGGTCCAATCATCTTTTCTAATTTTGTCTATTGTGTAACTTAAAATTTTAATTTGAAAATCTCCATCATCTGTAAGGTTGCATTCTCAAATATATAATAGAAGGTGGAAATTCATAAACGTGAGGTAGTGTTAGTTTTTTATATATTGCATATGTTTAAAAAGATTGAAAGAAACCTAGCTAAAAGAATATAATGTATCTTCTTTAAAAAATATTTTAATTGTATATTATTGTGAGTAAAATAGGTCAGATGCTCTTGTTTAGTTGTTTCTATGTTCAGCCAGGAAAACCATCATATTCTGCTGAATTTTTTGCCGTTATACAAGACTGGACTAAGCGTTCCGCAGCTGAAACGGCCGAAACCTATAGGAACAGATTATTTGGGTGAATAAAAGAAAAAAAAAGTTAACAGTTAAAAAAATGAAATGTGCAAAATCATATTTTAATCTGTGATTTTATAGAAGTGGCTTAAACCCTCTGATTTTTTGTAGTTTGTACTTGTATTTTTACGAAAATGTGTTGAAGTTAAACTGTTGAATTATATAATTTAGGTTAAACATTTGTACTGGATGTCATATTACGAAGGATTAAAGATTGACATTAATATTTATAAAAAAGATTTTTGAAGAAAAAAACTTGATGAATAACTTAAAATTATATAAATCAATCATTTACACAGTTTAGAGGAGTATGACGGGAAATGTCAGCCAGCCGAGTATATGCCGGACGGAGGGGCCTCTATATTTGCTTTAAACGTAGGATTAGTAAATGGAAGAGGTAATTAATAAAAACAATTAATACCTACCGCAGCTAAACTGTATACATGTATGATTAACCATTGTTGGGATGGTTTATGCCTTTTAAAACACTTAAATTATGTTTATTTTTGTGTAGCTATAGCCGAGATGAATTGCATCAGGAAAAACAATTTTAAAAAAAAACTATAATTCAAGTGATGATTATTACCTCAAAGAATTTTAGAAGCGTTGAGCCTACATTTGAACAACGATATGTTGGATAAAAAATTGTTTTAAACTTATTAGCTTTAATTTTGTTTATATATTAGATGAACAATTGCCAATTCAACTATTAGTTCTTTAAAGCTATATGTCATTTATGCATGATTTATAATCAGTAATATTAATATTGCATTAAATTATTGAGTTATTCATTTGCAAAAGTTTTGTTACATTTGCTACCTTTGATTAAAAAAGAAAAAAAAAAGAAGAAAAAGGATTTTTATTAACAATGAACACCTACTTCCCATTTTATAAAAAGACGTCACCTTATTTTAATTACAATGAAAATTCAACATCTCAAGAAGTTAAAACAAAACCAAAATATGTTTACATTTTTATTAACATATACAGGGCGGCCATCCACTGGGAACTCTGAATACGAGAAAAAAGCCTTCATTCCTCTGGAAACTTTCACGGTACAAAGGGGAGGAACCTATCGCTTCAGAATGATCAATGTTGGATTTGCAGCACCTTTTAAGATCTCTTTTGAAGCAGTATGTAGTTATATAAAATTTAGCATTAATTACAGAACTAGATGTATTTGCATATGAATTCTTTGTACTAATAAAGCAATCAAAACAATTTTAGTATAATCAACAAAATATATAACCTACTATGCAACCAAAATTTTAATCTGAAATCAAATACTTCAGTATCTAAAGAGTCTTTTCTTAGATTATTTTTTCAATATATTCTTTTATAAAATTTGCAGCTCTCCACCGGCAAGTGGCGTCTCCAAATGAGTAAAAAAATTCTCGAGAGGGACGTTAAACAACATATCATCAATCAATTAATATATTCTTTTATCAATTATGAATTTATAGATCATACGAAATTTACCAAATGAATTAAATTAAGTATTATAATGAGTAGCATAATATAATATTCGCTCTTATGAAATTTACCGAGTAAATTAAGTGTCGTACGATATATTTTCACATTCTTTTTTGTAGCATATAATTTCCGTTCTTGCTTTTGATGGAAATGAAGTTGAGGAACAAGAATGTGATGCTGTAGTAATAAGTCCCGGCGAGAGTGTAGACATCAAACTAAAGGCAAACCAGTCTCCAAACAATTACTACATCGATGTAGAAACTCTACCCACTACGTCAATCTGGGTACGTTTGACCAATCTCCTCATAATTACTACTTTAATGTAGAAATTTAACCCACTAGTTCCATTTGGGTAGGTATAAGATTTTAAGGTAAACCAGTCTCCAAATAATTAGTACATCAATGTTGAAACTCTACCAAACCAATCTCTCTATAATAACTATATATATGTAGAGACTACAAACTAGGTAAATCTAGGTTGGTATAAGATTCTAAGGCAAACAAGTATAATAACTATGTCAATATAGAAACTCTACCTACTAGGATAATTTGGGTCCGTTTTTAATAATTGGCTTTTTTCTTACAAAATACTGTGAAATCACTTTTTCCATTATTCGGAATTTGTTCCTTTTCATGAAACTCACGATTCTATGCAATTCTTGAAATTTAAATTTCAAACATAACGACTGAACAATTTTTTGAACATTGAAACCCTATTTTCACGAACATATCCTACAGAATAACATATCTTTGAATAATGAAAATTGGATCCGAAGAAATTAAGTGAATTGAGGTTAAATTGATTTTATAACTTCAGGGCCCAATTGAAGAGCCAAGGAAAACACGTGCTCTTCTCAATTACCAAGGAATCAACCCATATCAGGAGCCGCCTTCTATTCCACGTCTCTGTACTGGCCAAAATCCATGCTATGTTGTCAACCAAATTTATGGGTTAGCAAAATGATTTAAATCGATACCTGAAATAAATTTACTATGATATATGAATACTGTAAATGTATTACATTTGGCTGTGTATTCTTTTTAGCAAAAATCTGCTAAATCAACATTAAATGCTGTGTGTATAAAGGTTTATGTAACTTACATTCAAAAAGCACAAATTAACGCCACTTGTATATTCAATTTCTTTGTACAAAATATAATTTTACAGTATTGAAAGAAAAAATTGGAGTTACACGTACATGAAGAGTTCAGAAAAAAAATGATTTCATATTATCTTTCATTTCTTTTTATAATATAACTTTATAAGAATTTTATGACATCTTTTAATTCATAAGAAATATTTCACTTCTTTGAAATGAATATAAAATGTAACAGCATTATTATACAGAGACTTGTATTACAGAATGCCGCCCTTTGATTCCAATACGTTGATTATACCTCTAACTAGCCTCAAATCAACCCAGGCAGTATTATCTAAAAATGCAGTTCCTGTTGAAAGTCCCATATCCTCACTGCAAGAATTTTTCCTTCATTTTCATATTTTTCGTGAGTTTTATTTTTTTTAAAAAGTTTTCCTCTACAAATGTATATGTACATATCTCAATAAAAAGAATACATTAATTAATTGGATTTTCTGGCAATAGACAATGCAGAAAATACGATTAAAGTGAAGTATTAAAGATGGGTATAAAGTATCTCTGTATGTTATGTATTAATGATGTTTCCAAAATTGCAAGCTGCAATAAAAACACATCGCAATAACAATGCATTCATTATTAGCATTATTTTAATAAGAATGATTAATGTGGATGACTTGCAATATCTTTAATGTTTTGTTTTCCGTCGTAACAAAGAGTACAGTGCTCTCTACATGAAGAAAGTAAAATAGTGTACTTGGTTTGTTAATGCATTTTTTTTTATTGTTCAGGTGGTCACCCAGCCATTAATGGAATGCGCTTTATGTACCCTACTTCCGCTTTACAAGTATGGTATTTATTATCATTTTATTTATGCCTTACATTTTCAAATTAAATCCGCCGAAATATGGCTGAAATATTGCCGACACGGCGTTAAATAATAAATATCAATCAATCAATCAATCAAATCAATAAAAAAAAGTCTTGAGGATATTAAGATAGTGCAAATGAGAATTTAAAAATTAAGTTGATCTTTGTTTACTCGAGTTCCATAGATAAAAAGTAATGATATGTAATTTAGATTTCAAACTTATTATATCCATTGTGTTAGAAATATCAAAGTTCGAGATATTGATGTTCAACTGATTTTTTTTTATAAGTACATTTGATCCTGTGTTTTTATTTCATCTGTATAGACTGTGCTATTTGATTGTAGACTTATCCTAAAGGCAGCTTCGTCACACCGTGTCAGTCAACACACTGTACATCTACATCACAGAACTGCAGATGTACTCACACACTCAAATTAGAAATCTACAATACCATCCAATTTGTATTCTTCACAAGAGGTAAATGGCGTTTCTGCTTTTCAATTCAATTATATTTTAAGAATAAATTATCTTCATACGTATTTAACAATATTCAGATGGAATTGCATAGCATTTGTGTTTCCTAATAATAAAAAAAAATAAATAAAAACTTCTGCTATAACTAAATATTCTGCTGTTGCCAGGAATAAAAGCACCACATCCAATACATTTTCACGGTCATCAATTTCATGTGGTAAAAATTGGATATCCCGAATATGACCAAGTAACCGGAAACGCAACTGCGCCGAATCAAGATATAAGATGCCTAAATGATGATTGCACTGAGGCAACCTGGGCAAATCCGTCCTGGCGCTATGGAGTACCCGGTCTGAACTTGAAGAATCCGCCTCTTAAAGATACGGTTAACATACCGTGGGGAGGTTATGTTGTTGTTAGAATTACAGCCGATAATCCAGGTAAAGATAGTTGTATTAATTAATAAGTTTAAATTAAGAAAAACATGTTTAAACTAGCTGGATTTATAATTCTGCAATAAGATACATGTACAATGTATATCTATGTAAAACATGTAACATGTAAAATGTTAACATTCTGAAATTTCAAGGTAAAATCTTCTAAAAACATTTTATCAAAAACCACTGTTATGTAATTTAATGAATTAATTATTCAATTGTTAATAATCATTTTATGATGGTCTTTTGATCTTCAAGATGTACACAGAGGGTTACTGTACATTATAGCTCTGTCTCGTTAGCTCGTTAGATTCATTATGAAGAATCAGATGCAGTTATTTGATAATTATTTTTTTTCACTATTTCTCTAATGGGTGCCCTTTTATTGATAATGTACACTCCAAATACAATTTATCATTGATTCAAATGCTGACTGATGTTTTTCAAACCAATTGATAGTCCATTATTTACAAACTGAATTGACGACGGATTTTTCTGTTATTTCCTGGTCATGGCAAGGAGCACAAGGCGGGCTTGAACGGTCGGCAGGGGATGCTTACTCCTCCATGACACCTGATTCCACCTCTGATGTTTCGGAGATCTGTGTTTGCCCTGCTCCTATTTTGTAGTGTTTTATATATAGACTTTTGAGCTTGAATACATATATACCAAATCAATGAGTATTTAGCACTTTGATGTTGTTATACCAAATATGTTTCTTTCCAACAACTTTTCTCCTACTTTTTTTTTAGGATATTGGTTACTTCATTGTCACCTTGCACACCACCAATCTCAGGGGATGACCCTCGTGCTGCAGGAGGGAGACATATCGGATATGATATCAACACCTCCCAATTTTCCAACCTGCAATAACTTTCAAAGTTCTCAGGACTTCATGAAATCGGCCATCAATGAGCAGAAAAAGATTCTTGCTCGAAAGCGATATAATCGAAACCGCGAGGGAAATCAAAGAGGAAAAGGTAAATTTTGATTTAAAGTCAGTCTTGGAGAATATAGTGTTATCAAAGTTATCCGATTTTCTTTAAAGTCTGTGCACGAGCTGCCTTTTGAACATGTAAGAAGGTAGGGTATCATGTAAAATGTTAATATTTTGAAACTTCGAAGCAAAATCTTTTAAAGCATTTTATCACAAACCACTGTAATGAATAATTGAATGTCATATCGAATAGGTTTATGATAAGGTCTTTCTTTTTTACTGAATCCAAACGTGTTAAACCTGACTAAATACTAGTATACATGTAACAACCACTGCCAACAATCAAAATTGATGTATTGCTTTTGTATATGTACCTTGACGGTTGAAGGATAATTAAAAGAAAATACAAAAGATATTCAAATACTGATCAACAATTTGCATTGCTTTTGAGCACTGATTTTAGCATACATACAGATACAAAATGTTTTAAATGAGTAGTTTTAATTCCACAGGTATTTTGTTTAATACTTTTGTTATCTGCATGTTTAAATCTGAATGTACAACATACATCAAACACTTTTTTTTTTGCTTGCATTAATTTCAGCTTCAATCAACGAAAAACATCCATTCCATGCTAGAGGCATGGATACAGCGTCTGTGATGCAATTTTTATTGAGTGGAAAGCCAGTGGATACACGTGCCTCAGGTGCAGCTGCTAGCCGATACCAACAACCAGGGGTCCAAAATCTCCCGCCAAACACGGTTACCCCAAAATCAGGGACGTCAGTTTGTGACACCAGTCCCTGGCTCTGCTTCGGCGGCAGTCCTTTTGGTTAGTCCTCCAATGTGATCCTTCAGCCTTTCAATTCATTCACTCTTTCTTCATGTTCTGTCATTCAATTCTATTATCTTTGCGCATCAACGCCATCCTTCAAGAAACATTGAATAAACTGCCATAAGCTTTTCTATAAACTTACCAGAATGTAGAACAACTTTAAAAACAGTTATTTTTTACATTATTTGCTATAATAGTTTTGACATGCATTTAGGTTAGTTTCGAGAAATATAACACCAGTTGTTTTTGTCAACAGGGAATACTCTCTCCCTCATAGACACCTGATTCCAGTTTAAGATTCTTTTTATCCTCTATTGTATGTTTTTGTTATCGATCACTGTTCGTAATCGATACTTTTTTTCATGATATGCAAATGTTAATATTAATATAAAATATATTAAAAATAAAAAAAGACTCCAGTTGTCTAATTGTATTTAATAAGATTTGTCATACCATTAAGACACTTACATAAAACTGTAAAACAAGAGGATATAATATTTAAAATATAACAGCAAAAACAATTATTTCTATGCTAAATATATACATGTTAAGAAAACGAAGAAATAAGTATAATACTATTATTAATATTAACAGCGGGTAATTAAATTAAAGCACGCATTACTAGTATTTAATACCTTTCTGCAATTTTGATGTATATTCTGAAAAAAAATCAAAATCGCTAAAAACTGTGTCAGAATTACTTAAGTATGCAGTGGAACACAAGTTTTGATATTTTCCAACAAAGTTCTATAATGGAAGCCCAGAAAGCAGTAGCCAATTCTTTTTCTTTCTTGTCTCTAGTATTTTCGGGATTATGATTAAATTGAAAATTACTATTTACTCTTACAGCTCGATTTGAAATGATATTATCTGGAATTAAAGAAAAAAGGCTTCCCCTCAAAGTTAACTACAGCAGGTTCAAAGCAATTGCTTTTTTCGTTTTTTTTTTCTGTAGCGAAAAATATAACTATTCATTTTCGAAAAGTGAAATTCCTTGTGCGAGTACGAGGGGCGTTCAATAAATAATGTCATTGGGGCTCAGAAAGAAGTAAACAACGCTTTTCAATGATTTAGTCTTCATGATTTTACTTATTAATCTATTTAAATTCAAACACATGTCCGTAACATTTTTTATCCAATTTCTGATTGTTTTTAGAACTCATTTTTGGGTATGACCCTTAGTATACTGGAAAATGGCAGATCAATGATTTCCTTTGTTTTTTCCTTCTGAAAGGTGTTTTATTCAAGTTTGGAAATAGAAACAAGTCAAAAGGTCAAAGATCTGGCAAATATTGTTAATTTGAAAAAACATTAACTTTCTGTTTATCCCGTAAACCCTTTTACTCTTTAGGGCATGCGGGTTTAAATTTATGAAGAAATTCACCGAGTGGATTTTCTCCTTTCTCTGATGAACCTTTCGATTTCTTTGCAAAATAAACTGCTTTCTAGACACATCTGGATATTAAACTGTCTCCCCGGAATTTGAACAATAATACCAAATATTTAAGAAAATTTCATATAAATCTGTTTTTGTGCTCTTGCATACCTTTGCTCTTGACAGACCTTCGCCGTTTTTATCAAGTACATCTTATGGTAAATTTTGTTTTAATGGTTTTAAGCAATAGATTCATGTTCCATTATCTGTTTGAATATAAAACAAACGTATTACTACAATTACTGGTATTTTAAAATAATTGTTAAGACTTTTGTACACGCTGTCGTTTTCACTCATTTTTCAAAATACAGGGTGACCTTAGAGTACCAAGCTTAATTACTGTTAAACGTTTCTTAAAAACAGTGTTAACTACTCCCGATATGATGTGTATCAAATTTGCTATGTGTCTTAAAGTCAATCATACAACATCAAATATTATTTGTTGAAATTTAGCAAACAGTACATAAGTTGTTATAATTTTTGTTGGCAAGGAGGGTACCCATTTTTGATGCCCATTATATAATTTTTGATCTTTGAAATCCAGGTGCTAATTTGTCTATAAAACAGGCATCGGTTGCTGTAAATATCACATATTTCAGTGAATATTTCTTTGGGATTTTTAACAAGTTTTACAGCAGCTTTAATGTAGCTTTTATTTTCACTCTAGTTTACTGATTCTTAACCATTCATTTATAATGCAGTGTCTCGTATAGCCCTTGTTTTGCAGCTTCTCACGATAAAACTATGTGATGAAAAGTGGTCACATAAACTGTTATTAATTCATTAAAGATTCAATAATGAGAGAAAATCAAGCTTTATGTCATATGACTACTTAGTTGTATGTCATCGAGCTAATGACATTATTTATTGAACGCCCCTCGTATTTTTAATAAAAAGATATTGCTAGGCACGAACAATATCTAGAACGAGTCAGGCAATTGAAGAATAAGTACATGATACATTGTACAAGGATATAAAATCAACGTTTCTTAATTCCTTTTCTTTACAGTGATCTTGTTTGCAAATACAGTTCGTCGTAAAGTCGGATGCATGGTGACTGACGTTATCATACTTATTGTTAGACTATTATGCTATTTTGTTTTACTGAATTGTCTATACGGATTTTTTTTCCGTTCGGGAAGTAACAGTAAACATGGTTGATGGTACTGGTCTACAGGAGGGGGGGGGACTTTCTACTAATCCAACTCTTTTTAAAGGTCCTTGTTTGCTCTTCCTATGAATTGTGTGAGATTTTTAAGTTTTTTTATTTAAGCATTGAATTCATATTTTTGGATGTCTTCGTTTTTGCAAAAATTGAATACCGCGCATTTATTTTTTTGTGTGTTATAGGACTCCAAAAATATGAATTCATGCTTATTTTTTCTCTAATTTTCCTTCTTCATAATTGCTTATTTCATTAATCTTAAATGTGAATTTAGCGCCCTTCAAAACTGCCTTGGTAAATAGATGTAAGAGCCCTTTGTGACGTCAAATAAAGTTAAATGACGTTGCAAAGTTAAATAACGCAAACAAACATTACGAGGAAAAAGTGACAAATTAATTCCTAACGCACACTACGTTAATTTTACATTAATTTTTCAGGGTTGTAGTTTTTCATTAAATTGAAATAAACATTTTACATTTCGGTGTTCCTAGAGTATTGAAAATACATATAGTTCCTACCGTGTATTCTAACGCGCGGTGACAAGGTTTCGATAGACATTAAAATGTCCTTACGGATTTCATAAGGAAAATTACACTGATTGTAAATATATCTTCATATTTTTTTTTTCTCCTTGCGATAATTATGATTGAGATAATTACCTGTTCCAGTGCTTGTATTTATTTTTTCAAATGTATCTAGTTTTCTATAGGATCTTTACCTTTACAGTCTATGAATAATTTTATAAACAAATATTTACATTCAGTGTAATTTTCCTTATGAAATCCATTAGTATATTTAAAAATAAACCGTGTCACCGCGCGTTAGAATACACAGCAGGAACTATATGCATTTACTAGCCTTATAGGAACACCAAAATGTAAAATGTTTTATTTCAATTTAACGAGAAACTATAACCTTGAAAAATTAACGAAAAAATTAACGTCATGTGCGTTAAGAATTAATTTGTCACTTTTTTCTTCGCAATGTTTCTTTGCGTTATTTAACAATGCAACGTCATTTAACGTCGTTTGACGTCACAAACGGCTCCTACATCTACTAACCACGACAGTTTTGAAAAATTCACATTTAAAATTAACGAAATAAGTATTATAATTTTTAATTACAAAGTGGAATGATAACACACCTTGATAGCGCTAACGCGCGGTATTCAATTTGCACCATTTTTTTAAACATATTGGACAAAATCTTTAGGTACTTAATATAACATAAGATGTATCAGTTAAAGATGGCTAAACCACATATGAAACATTGAAACCGGTTGATATAATAATCTTCAAGATTTCTCAGTTTGCATACATTGTTCCAAAGATTTGATAATTTACAAAAATCTGAGATCCTTGTATATTTAAAAATATCATGATATTAAGTAATTGTTTTTCTGTTTAATGAAAAGGCAAAGGCATTTTCTATCTTTAATATTTTCCATAAAAACGTCGTCTACACAAGAATAAATTTAGATATAATTTTTAATTACAAAGTGGAATGACATGAAGCACACATGCGCTGTTTTTTTTTTATTGGAATGCTTATATCTTAATAAGTTAAAAATGCCTCACACACATATGACAAACAATACTGTTAATTCAAACATTAATGGCTCATGATCTATGTCTCTACTGAAGGTATGACATGACTTTGACAATCCCACTACTAGTGCTGTATTCACAGACCCAGAGCTGGTCTCTGTCATCTATCGCAATGCCTGTTGGTCCCTCGATTTTCCCGTACAATAAATAGCAAACGAACGCACCATTATCTTTAATGACGTGCACGGTATTGTTCCAGTAATCAGCTACGAGGTAGTTTCCTCGGCTGTCTGTAGCAATACCCTCAGGTACAAACTGTTCCACAAGACCTTGTGCCTTATTTCCGTCGTAAGAAAAAAGAAATTCTCCATTTTCTTGAACTAAAATGACCTCGCGCCTTTCATAGTCGGAAACACATATTCTGCCATATTTGTTTTCTATAACATATTGTGGTTTCATGTAAATTCTTCGCCTATTTTGGTCGTACTCCACTTCCAGTATTTCTTTCCCGTTTTGGTTATACTTTACAACTTTGCCACTACTACTGCTTGTACTATAAAGGCATACTAAAAGATCCCCTGACCTGCAGACACCTATTCCCCGGGGTTCGTATTCTCCTGTAGAAAACATCTTTGATATTTTTCCAGATTTTGCGTCCACTTTCATAACGACCTTTGCTCTGATATCTGTATAAAATACGAACTTCCGGTCATATGACACAGCCAAACGCCATGGAGTATCGGAAGTTGTCACGTTTCTCAACTCTTTACCTTCAGCATCCATGAGTTTAAGATCTTTACTTCTTGAACTTAAAATCCAAAACTGGTCATGACCGCCGCTTCCGATATCTCTCAGAAAGTTAAAAGGACACGTAACTTCCTTGGTCAATACTGGGTTGGGGTTAAGGTTTTCTCTGAACTTATCAATGTAACGAATGATGTCACACTGGTTTGTCTTGTGGGTGTCTTTGCAAGTGTCGCAAAGGTTAAGGTTGTGTTTCGTGCAATGCCACTGCACAGCATCTTTAATTTCCCCGGTACACCGTTGACATTCCTTGTAATGTTGACCGTGTCCTGTTGACATCTTTCTGCTGATTCTGGAGAGTAAAGATATTGTAAACGTTCATAGGTTAAGCGCATTCAAAATTAAAGTAGAGACAATACAGCAACAATATGACTGTGCTTATATTTTTAATGGAATAGATGAGGGGTGCTTGTCTCGAAGCTAGATTTCAATGTCATTGTCTATTAATTACACAGTTATGTACTATACTTATTGGAACGATTTTTAGTGTACATAATGTAGATTCAAAATGTGTAAATTTATTCAAGATATAGCAATCCGGCAAAGCAGATCCCAGATAGATGCTTTAGTTTCTAAATCATGGGTTGCGATGCATTTATAATTTATCTTAACCCTTTTGATTTTGAAATACGTGTGTTACCGAGATTTATTTATTTCAAATAGGTTTAGCATTAAGGAAAGCTTGTAATCCCACAGAAGGAAAACACATATAAAATTCCAACAATTTAAATAAAATTTTTGATCCGCCCCTGCTAATGTTTCCGCCTTCAACTAGGAACAGATAAAATGTATCTAAATATCTAGCATTTAATAGACAGTTCAAAGGGGATACCTTTCCAAAGATATAATATTTTAATTTTTTCCCCCGAAAATTCCTTAAAATTCAGAACTTTAAACAAAACATCAATATTATTGTATTCCTAAAATCTACTTTCGTTTTGTTATTGTGTTTTAGTTTACCATAGATAACGCGCTCAAATGATCACAGACTAAATGGGGTAGGCCTTAACGTAAGGTTTTATAGTACTCTTAAAAGAATCTTACAAATAATAATACTTACCTAGCAATTCTCTGATAAAATATGTCATATGCGACTGTAGCTGCTACGACTACAGACACACTACAATGGATTAATGATCAACCCCTGACCTAGATATCGGTAGTTCAACGTAGGCGGATCAAATATTGTACCAAATTTAAAAACGTTTCTTTTTGACATTCGGTTGTATCATTAAAAAATTACTTGAGCATATTTAAGAGGTATATTTAGTAGATTTAGTAAGCTTAATTAGGAGAGAAATAAAAACGATGATCACCTTAAAAATATCTTTAAACAATTGTGTTTAAAAAATTACTCTTATTTTTAAGAATTATAATATTAATTATAATTGCTTTCAAAGCCCATATGACATACACAGTGGATTTGAATTGTGAAGATTTCATTTTTTTTTTTACAGTAAACTACAGAAAAATTAAAAATGACTGAAGAAACAGAAAATATATTTAAAATGAAAACCTAAATGGAGTCTAATGAAAAGTATTGATAATGATATATAACTGATTGCCTACTCATTGTCATACTATATATTACTTACAATTACCGTATTTCTGACCGGTCAGCAGGGGATGCTCACTCCTCCATGGCACCTGATCCCACCTCTGATGTTCTGGAGGTCCTTAATTGTTTGCTCTGTTCCTATTTTACATTGTTTTATGGACTTTTGATCTTGAATACTGTTCGTTATCTCCATATGTTTCATTACATAAGCTTAAACTCGTTATACAAAGAAATTGAACCAAATTTTATTTGCCGTCCATAGTAGAAGTATAAAGCACATACACTGACGTTATATTTTTTCTTTTATTAAAAAAACACTTAGGTATGGAGGTAGTTTTTTTCTAATAAAAGAAAAAATGTAACGTCAAGTGCCTCTGGTATGATTGAACGATTTTTTTCTTCGATACCCCACAAATCCAAGTCTATTACAGTCTATAATTCAAGTAACTTTTGACACATACTTCTTTGTTGCAGTTGTAGTTAAAAATTGTAACAAGCATTAACAATACGTCATTTAAAAGGGAAAACTTTTTTTTATCGAATTATGAACGCTTTTATTTTGCATCATATGCTGTTGTTTCTTCCCAAACTAATTGTGCATTAAACCCCGCCTTACAAGTACATCCAAGAACTTTAATTTTGTTAAATCAATAAAATATTAATTCCATAAATCAATAGCATATTTGTTACAGACCCTAAATGTCCAATTCAATTTAACTTATTAGAATTGTTATAATTTAAACGCACAATGGCGCGGTTTTACAAAGATTCTGTAAAAGTCACCTTAAATTTCATTCAGTGGTTTAAGAGGAGTTGTGGATAATAAATAAATATCCCAAACCGTAACAGAGGGACAGAAGGACGTACAGCTGGACAGACCGACGGACAGACCGACGGACATTCCGATCACCATGTATCCTCACACTTTTCACGCCGGGATATAAAAATACAATACAAGAAAAAGACTTGGGCAATGTGACTTAGAATTGGGATTCCAATAAAATTATTCAACATAATGATATTGAAATTCAAATGGTTATATTGTGGATCTATAAAACCAAAATATAAAACAACCACTTGATAATAAAAATGGAAATAATAGTTATCAAGTTTACAATTCCATTGAAAATACAAATTGGAAGCAGCCCAAACACGGAACACGGACCCTCAAATCATCAGAGGTGGAAACAGGTGCCATGGGGCAGTAAGCATCCCTTTTAAACCGATCATACACGCAGTGTTCTACTTGTCATGGCCCCTCTTCCTTTGAAAAAATGAAAACTTTCGTAGCAAATTCAGTGTGTCCATTATAGCCAAAAAATAATTCTATGAAAAATTTCATTTATCCGAGTTAATGATAGATTGTATTTACTGTCAAGATTATAATATTGTATCGACAATAAGATATCCTTGTTTTATCAACTTGTTTGTCAATAGTGTAATGTGTGCTCTTCCATATCGTATCATCTTGGAAAGAAAAACTCCATATGAACGAGGTGATAATGGCTATAATGAAGAACGAACAACGAACAAATAAATATAAAGTCAAAAAGAATAATATAAATTTCCACGGTGACATCAAAAATATCTAGGCAGAGTTAAAAAGCCTTAACATATTTGTAGGACTCCAATGTGCGATGGGACTCCAAAGTCCGATGGTCTGCGCCAAATCTCAATGGCTTGACATGCCGAAGTCCGATGGTGCGGAAAGCAATTAAAGTTCATGACGTCATAGTACTACTGCACAAAATTGCGATGCTGTGACATGCCAAGGCCCGATTGTTTAAAATAAATATTAAATGCAAAGATTATTCCTCATCTATTGGATATAAGTGCGAGACTAACCCTAATCAGTCGAAAAATACGTAATACTCGGTAACTTTAACCTAAGTATCTTGGGAGGGTGGCCTGGACTAATCTAGATCAGCCGAGGACTAAGCTAACACTAAAATCTCTCGGATGGGTTCGAACAAACACATTATCAATCCGATGGTGTTCAAGGACTAAACCTTCTCAGTCAAGTGGTATGCGAGGACTAATCCTAATTAATGCCTCTAGTAGGTGAAAACAATAAGCTTTAATCGGTAAAATTATATACACGAGATGAATACTGAATCAATTAAGAAATAAATAACAAGTTTATAGACTTCAATGGGAATTGAAGTGGGTCCGTCACGTGATCAAATCCTGTGAAGGCCGAAGGTGTTTTGCAGCAGTTCATGGCATGATTGCAATAATATTTTTCAACAGATTTACACATTTATCGTGAGTAAAATTTAAAGATAAAAGTTTATCATGAAAATTTAACCAAAGGTCTACCAAAAAAATAAGGATGAACGTTAGAGACTGTGCAGCTGACAAAAGTGAAGAAAATGTAAACAAACGCTAAGCTCCTAGTTTTCTCTATGTTGAATCGATAGCCCAAAAACTGTATGAAATACTTGTTTACATTTTAAATAAAATAGTTATCATTTTACTTGCTTATTTTGTTCATTTTTAATTTTTATACATGAAAAGCAAGTAGAGGAGGTCATTTTATAATTTATGTACAGGTAGATATTATTGCGCCGTGTGATTAGGTCACGAATTGACCTCTGACCTCTGACAAACTTCATACAGAATTGAAGATATTTTCTCTCTGTATGTTTATATAATGGAGAGATACCACAAATGTATATATTGGGTTTTGAATGCGGGACAACGTCATGACGTATGACTACTGTGACGTCATAAACATTGCTCGTTCCTCCGCACCATCGGACTTTGGTGTATAAGACCATCGTACTTCAGTGCCACGTGTTTCATAGGAAACGAGCTATCGGACTTTGGCGTGACCATCGGACTTTGGCGTCCGTAAAGACAGTGAGCCATAGGGGTTTGGCGCAGACCATCGGGGTTTGGCGCAGACCATCGGACTTTGGCGTCACCATCGCACTTTGGAGTCTTACATATTTATAATCGATTATATGCAAAGTACAGTAATGTTTCATTTTATTCTTTTGAACATATTTCATTAACAGCATGTCATTTTAAATATTTATTTGTTAAATGTAATTTTGTTCAACAATCAGGATATAATGAATTCATTCATATAAAATATTAACGTCAGTCAACTCAATAATAAAAACAAAATAAAACCTCTATTACCTTCACAACAAAAAACAAAATGTACACATAATAATTGTTTACAAAGCACGTAATTCGAGCATTATAGTGATTATAAATAATAAATAATAATATATGTACATGTAATGTCCAAATTACATCATACAACAGCGTGTATATATTAAAATCATCTGTACACTGAAAAAAATTATCAACGGGAAAAATCACGTTCATTGTATGTCGGTCTTTGCATCGCACAATACGGAGCAAAGATAACATTGTAACACCCATCAAAAATCTTTTCTATTGATCTATTAAAATGGCGTGAGGTGTGAGGTCATTGAAATCAAGATTTTTTAAATTTTACTTCTATTTCATTTTATATACACCCCAACCACAGGCAAAAGCATCTTTAACTATATAAAATGAAGCACTTTGATCACCGATGGAATGTAACATAATTACACTAGGGTGTGCCCTATTGAGAAATATGACGTCATAACATCCTTTCTGACTCGATATCACCGTCACAGCTGTTGTTATTAGATACCCTCCTATCTTCGAGAGAATTGGCAGACGTATTCCGCTTTCCATTTGTAAGTTGCATGTGGTCTTTGTGAATGGTAATGTCATTTGCCCACCCTATGGAAGTTTTTGTATATCTTGTTGCCAAAGTTCGATTTTCACGAAATGTAGAGAATTTCTTCTTTAAAACTGATTTCACCTGTAAATATTTTCAAGAAAGCGTTTGTAATTAATGTATTTCCATATCAATCCTCATTATCATACCACAGTTCTCAAATTTCTTCCATCCAACATCAAAGTGATTACTAAAAAGTATAAAATTAATGCATTAAACGTTTACTTACCTCTCCATTCAAAAAACAATAGAACAAAGCAACGAAGAAGCCCTAGAAACAACAAAAATATTTTAAGTCGTATCAAATACTCACAGAAATATATTCTTTCTAAAAAAAATTAGCACTTGATATTTTTTGAAGAGGCCCATTGACCGAAATGTTCACCTGAGTCATCTTGGTCAAACTTTATATCCAAGTGTTACAGAAAAGATTTTCTTTGCTTTATTTCCCTAATCATTTTACCCAATACCGTGAAATAACCTCAGCTTCAAGGTGTCGTTATATTGACTTATAATTACTTGAATATTCATTATATAGAGATGCTTTGCTCACAAAATTACTGACAAACAGCTTTCTTATTCCAGAGAAGAAGAAGAGTGTTTTCTTAAACAATGTATACATTTTCCTTCAATTTTATTTTCAGTTTATTGCAAAGTACATATTAGGTTGAAAGAAAGCTTGTAATCAACAGAAAAAAAAGAAAAAAAATGAATTCCCCTTAATTTGAAACAATCAGAAACCATCAATTGGACAAAATATTAATGTATCTGCATTGAGGTCATTTTTTTTATGCCAATGTCACTGGTCAAGAACCAAACTTACTAATTTATTTTTTAACATAGAACCCCTTACAAAGATTTAAGCTTTTCTTGTATCTCAACGAAACCCCTAAATATATAAACACGCTTGAATCAGCATTGCTAGAGACTGCTAATCTTTTCTGGTTCAGTGGTTTCTAAATTTTTTTTTATTAAAGAACTCACTAAATTTTTAACATTTTATTTTTTCCACTTATATAAGACACGACTCTTGATATGAATTAAGTCTTCTTTCTTTTATGCCTTCAAGAATGTTTCGTTGAAATTGACGATGTTTTGGTCCCAGATTTGTGCAGATAAGATGTTGGGTGTATTTTAGAATGATGCGACAATTTATCAATAAAACCTGTATTCACCCCTGCCACATACTGAGTATTGGTTCTAAGTCTAAGGGATACATAGAGGTCACAGGAAGGTAAGAAAATACGTCAATTTCTGAATGATTACAATTTTATGCAAATTTTCTTACATTTTCAGCACTTTTTTTGTTTTAAGAAAACACAGAAAACAAGATCTACCCAATTAAAATATTTCATGCACAAATATCTGATGATGCATCTTTTTTTATAAAAATCTCAGACATGCAAGCTTGTGCTCAAATTTCCCGAAGTGAGAAATTCTCAAATTTGACGAAATGTGAGAAAATTCGGGAAGACATTCTACTTCAGCTTCCTCGTGTGATCTCCCTGTAAACTTTGCAGCATAATTAATGCTGGTTGTAAAACAAGCATTATTTTAGATTCTTAATTAAAAACTATCAATTTTAAATGTGTTCTGATTTTTACATCAAATAAGTGCAAATTCAAATTATTGGTCGTTATCATACCTTGCCCTTTAAGAATTTAATAAGACCTATTTTTTTACTAAAAAATCTTAGGCAATTGAAACAACAACATGAACGGATTAAATGTGTCAAACTGAACGTAACTTTCGACGCAAGTTCATAGATATAAAATTGATACCATAGAAACTAATATTTTATTCTTAATCATCATTTGTTTTAAATCATAGTATAAATGTCAGTAAAAAGTGCCAATAAAAAACTATAAAGCATCAAACCTGAAAAGATTGTAGAAAGGTGTTAATGAACTTGTGGGCTTCCACGACTGCCTTATGATCAGTGGGCGGCCATATAAATAAGAGATAAGTAATTCCCAGCAACGGAAGCAGTAGTAAAGTGGCTTTAACAGCTTTCCTGGAAAATGGTAAATAAAAAGGAAATCAAAAGAAGTAATTGCTACAATTTATGTGTTTTGCAAGAGACATAAAGATGTAACTAAGAACTTATTTTTACTTAGAATCTGTTTTCTTTTCAGACTTAATCTTTTTTTTATAATTGGACAATGACATTTTTAACTTTTTTTCAATCCCCTTGAGTTTATATTGGTAGACGGTGTCTTCCTGTCTTTAAACTGAATAGAAGATTAAAAGTATACATTTTGGAATTTTCATAATGAAATATTGATTTTGGTCTGAGACTTTCTTACCTCAATTGTTTTGTTTCCAAGCTGTTCGATGCTCGTAATTTTGTAACTAGAACCCAAATAATCGTTGCTAGAAATAACATATTTACCTGCAAAATAAAGGAAAGCTATTAATTTTTTCCTGGTTTGGGTTAAATGTATATCGATTCAATTTGTTCATGTGGCCATTACATATATACATGTAATAAATCATCTATTTACTTTATTAACTATAAAGATAACTATAACACAATGAAAACTATAGTGATAACTTCGACATTATGAAGCTTTATTTACCTAAAGTAAGTTACTAGTATTGTTAACTATAGTATTTTTGTAAAGGATCATTTTATAATTTATTTTGATTTATTACTATTTTTATAGCTTACAGCTAACACCAGCAGAGTCGGTGCGACATATATGTAGTCCAGATCATCTCCGTGATTGGAGTTATTTGGAGGAAGCCAGCAACTGAAAAACACATACAGTAAAACTCGTTTAGCACGAACACGGATATTGCGAATTCACGGATATAGCGAAGCTATCTTGGAACCCCAGTTATATATCCTTATACGGATAACATATTGCGGATATAGGGAAGTAATAACAGAGGTCCCGGCGACTTCGTTATAACCGAGTTTTACTATATTAGAAAAGATATTGTCTTATTTGTGAATCAGTATACAAGTCAAACTGTCAACTAACGGGAGATGGGGATACTTAAGACATCACAATAAAAAAGATGTCATTCTATGCTTGATAGAGAATACAATAAAATTTCGATTAAAATGTTTTTATACAGGGCCAAAAAAATCAAAAGTACGAAAAATCCTGAGAAAAAATGTTTGACAACCAAGGAATTACGGGGAAAATGTTAATTGAAAAAGGAAGAAAAAGATTTTGAAAGTTCAACCTTTTTTTTTAAATCTCAAAACTAATTCTTGATGCATCATTTTACAGATTAAACCAGCTATCTAATCAAAATCAACTAATTTGATAATTGGCAGATTTTTTTCTTTTCTTTTTTTTTTCTTTCTTTTTTATCCGAATAACCACAATGTTCCTCCATCATATATTCAATATCAACGAATTGATTGGCAAAGCAATTTGGTGGTCCAAACGTTTCCTGCTTTTTATTAATGAATGGACAAACTAAAGCATCCATTGATGTTAAAGGACATACGAAATAAGAGGGACATTTAAAGTATTTTAAAGCATTCAACGAAGGTAATAAAATGATTTTTTTTTTTACTTTCTCTGGTAGATCGGGTCTTTGAAATACGTAACCTAAATACACAAATAGAACAATCATGAATAATGTATTCCGATGATTGAGTGATCTTGATAGAAAAATTACTTACTCTAATAAGACAGACACTTTGTGCTTCTCTGTTGAATCTGAATAAACTCGAAGTGCAACCCATATAGCCATAATTACCAATGGTATACCTATAAGGAAAAAATGGTATCAATGCAATATATCAGTATTAGTTAATTTTCTTTATTTTAAATCAATAAAGAAAAAGAAGAAAGAGAAGTATAACGTGTACTGTGAGGTTTCTTTCTATCAATCATCAACTTTAATAATTGGTGTCATAATTATTCAACAATATTTATCTATCATCTTTCTTTATGACATTCTTATGATAAGTAAACATTTTTCTTTGACAAAGAACCCAATATTGAAACATAGTGGTAACATGTAGTATACAGTGGTATATAGTGGTAACAAAAATACATGTACATGAAAAACTTAAAGCAATATGAGATGCAACTTTGATATCCGAATTTTCTGTTGCAAAATTGTAAATAACTTTTTCAATGACAGAAAAAATAACGATAATAAACTTCTGTCGTTCATATTTGCGATGAAAAAACTATTTATAAGTTTTGATTGAATCCAAATTACATTATTGTCGTCCTGTACAATAATGATTTCTTATATAATATATTTTCGAGGGGTTAAATTTTTGTGGTTTGAGGGAAAATATATAGGTTCATGGGGATTTGATTTCGTGGTTGAAAAACTGATCAATAGTAATATGTGTAAAATTGCATTTAGTGATGGACATAAATTCCTGGGTCTTTTCACACCATGAAAACCACGAAAATTAAATCCCCACTAAAATTAGTGATTTCACAGTATTGAATTGTATATAGAAGTTTTTTTCTGCTTTTTTTCTGTGTAATTGGTCATAAAGGTTTAAGTTACATACAAATGTATCATAATAACATGTTTTAACAGCAAAATATTTTTTTAATGCAGCTCATATTGCTTTAAAAGAACCATATTTACATCTGTCATTGAGGGCACATGACAAGGGGTACTTTTTGATAAGTGTATATCAATAACCTCTGATATAAAATACGATGTGTAATACATATGCCTCACAAACTTTTTATATACCTAGAAGACATCAACCGTTTCATTTTAAACTCGGTTAACGAAATTAATCAAAGATAATTTTATCGAAAGGTACACACATGAATTGTTTCCAGGTTTACACCATCAAACGTTATTTGCACAAAACCCCTGTAATTGTATCACTAATTAGTAGACGTTGATTAGAAGCTTTCCAACATCCGTTTTAATTATTTCCAAAGAAAAAGGTTCTTTTTGAAATCAGCAACATATTTTCAGTGAGAATGCATTAGTTTTATCGAACATGTATATAAGAGATTCTACTCTATCTTTGTAAAAGCACATCTGAGACTAACTGTGAAATCACTGATTTACTTGGGAGGATTAATTTTCGTTTTTTTCGAGGTATGGAGAGATATTCGAATTAATGACCACTTTAAAATGTAAAATTCCACATGCATTACTAAACGTTTCTCCAACCCCGACATCAAATTTCCAAAAAAAAAAAAAATTCTTTTTCAAACCTCGAAATTGACCCCACGAAAATAATTGATCTTATAGTTATCCCCTAAATATATATAGAACATGTGAATAAATACTTAAAATATAAGAGTTGTTTGTATTTATAAAAGTTAATCTGACTGGGTCTCTTTAATAGCTCTTAAAGCTTTAACCTACCCCAGCCAATCACAATGAAGTACCATCTCTTGATTTTATCCGCCGAGTATGTCCACACTATTATAATGTGTAAATACAGCCCCTCCACCAACATCCAGAAAAAGTTCGTCATTTGGGCATAGTTAAAAATAGCTACCTCAAGTTTGCAGGCCCACTGAAATAATAAAGATAAACTCGTGAGATAGAGTTTTCAAAATATTTGTATCAAATGATACCAATTGATATACACAAAGAATTCAATATTATTGTATGAATAATAACTTCATAAACATAAAATATTTATTATACATTTTCTTTTCATGGATACAGGTATTTTTTGTGAGGCTCTTTAAAAAAAATTAAAATACTTTGATGTAATTATGTATCATATAATAAGATCTAGAGCGATGTGCCCGATTCTCTGACAACCTTTAATTTGCCCATGAAAATGGATATATGTTCTCATCTGACATAATTACGAAATAATGACCGTAAGCCCGACAAAATTGTTTTTCTTCGCGAAACTCTGTTGAGCTATTACATAGAACGTATATATTTCAATACTTTCCAAGATATAATAAGCAAGACTTCCGTCTATTTTAAGACAACTTGATTACTCTATGTGCCAGTATTATTACTTGGAAATCTCTACGGTTTTATCAAAGAACCTCCGAGTAATAAAATCGGTCAACAAAATAAGAAGTCCAGTCTATTTCGTCTCACACTGCAATATAATATATTACGCTGATAAAAAATACAATGTAACGAAATAATTCCTTTAATCGGGCATTTAGCCAGAGGGCTAAAAATTCCCTTTGAAGAAATGAAGAGGAATAAAAACATATTTTAACTTACTAATTACACTAGCAAGGTAATACCTTATGCCATCTCTAGTCGGCCACGATTGCTTATAAAGAAATAAGTAATGTAAAAATTCTTTTTCTTAACTTCAGTTGGTTCCTGATTCAATATACACCAAAAAGGAACCGATTATGCTAAACAGATGCTGTGTTACGCAATACATGTGTAACAGTTGGTTATTTATCTACTATTTATGAAGTAGCTTTATTTTTTAAGAGACAAAGTATAAGGATAACAAATGTTTATCATTCACGAAGAAAAGAAACTGTATTTCAGCTCCTTTGACTTATACGTATACGTAGTCTGTCCTACAATATACAATCATCAACATCCTCTTTTTACAGTTTAGATGAGACCTTAAAACCGAGGCCCCGTGTCAGCGGCAGGCGTTGGCACGATAAAGATCCCTCACTGCTCAATGGCCCTGAGTGCCGAATAAAGGTCAAAATTTGAAGCTCTTCACCGGCATACGGTGACGTCTCCATATGAGTGAAAAATTCTCGAGAGGGACGTTAAACAATATACAATCAAATCAATCAATCTACAGTTTATTTTAAAGTATATGCATTATAAATCCTTTCCACCAAAATTTCAACTTTGATTCTATCCTTAGAGTTCAACCTATGCATTCACTTGGCGACGAATTCAAAGTATAAGAATTTAAACATGCGTTAATTGCAACTTCAAAAATGAATCAACATTTATTCGCGATTTCTCTTTTCTTGTCGATCATGATGTAAAGACAATACACGTGTTCAGAGTAAAATAAGCTGCCAATGTCTGGAAATGATTAAAACTCTCCAGTGTATTTGACAGCAATGAATGAAACTTATTGTAAAATTGTGTCATACTTTTGTTCCATGATGTTTGACTGCAAATAGGTTAGAAATGATAAGATTTCACTGTTGAACTGCATAACTTCTTTCAGCAATATTTTAAATTTATTGCAAGAGTTAAAAATAAAATTAAAAAAACAGGTTATCTGATATATTTAGTATCTTCTATTTCATTTTCTCGAATTAGTCATTTTTTCCCTATTTTCTACGCAACATATCATACTTATGAACACGACTGTAAACATTTTGCATAAGTACAATTACATCTAAAATTCATTATATTACTATACTTACAGTTTCTTGACTATTTACAATTGGAAGGAGCGAATGCTGCATTATTATCCATATGATGTTCCTCAAGATGAAAGTGACGATGAGATGGCAGTGGATAATATTTCTCAGACATCGTAAACTTCTACAATGTAATATAAACATCACCAATTTTTTTTAAAAAAAAGTGCTATCAGTAATATCTATTGTATTTTAAGTAGGGGATGCCAATTCCTCCATGGGACCTTAGTTGTCACACTTCTGATGTGTTTATAGAAGTTCGAATTTACTCTGCTCCTGATTTGACTACATGTATTTCATGTGAAATTTGAGCATGAGCATAATTTTTTTTTAAATTCATATTTTCATCTATTTCTTTTTATGATAATACATGTATCTTCTTTCTTTTATTGTTCTCCTTAATTACGAGTACATATACATTGTTTGAAATTAAACTTCTTTACTGAAAATGTGATTTATTGTTTAAATTCATTGATAAATTTTGATATCGTTTTTTTTTGGGGGGGGGACCCTTACATCAATGTTTTTCATGTTTTTTAAACATAACTTAAATAGTAATTATAATTGGTAAAAAAATAGAATATAACGTCAATTAAATATTTAATTTAGATGACGCATATTTAATAAATTCATACAATCTCAGGTACATTTCTCATTATATAAATTTTGAGAGCAGATATGAGAAGCATATAGCACTAAACCTAAAAACCAAATAAAGCAAAGTTGCAGAGTAATTACACTGTTTAGGGAAATTGAATTATATTTAGAATATATACAAATATTATATCCCTTATTAAAATGATCGGAAACTTCAATCACATGAATTTTGTTTTACGTTATCAGATTATTTTATCGTTCTTTACAGTCGCTTAAACATTTTGCATCTCCAACAATTTATACTTGGTACATCAGTATCACTATTGCTGCAAGAACATGAATGATTTGTTCACAAAAAGAGGTGCCTAAGCAAAGAATAAATATATATTGTTTTTAGAATATACCATCTTTGAACGAGCTCCTTCTTTTGTTACAATGTTTTAGATATGAAATTCTTATACTGTCTCAAATCGCGCGTAAAAGAATAGCAACTGCAGAAGCCATAGAATGAATATTGCATTTGGAAAAATACAACAAATTAAAGCCAAAAAGGGAATTAAAGGAAAAGATCAATACCACAAAAGAAAAAAAAACTTAATTAACATATTTCATATAAAACAAAACACTTGCTGTTGCCTTTAACTCGACATTATGATGTATCGACGAAGTATCGTGAGTTAACAATGGTTATTTTGCATTCAAATTAATGTCGAAGCGATATATTCCGGCGAACATTAGATAAAAGATACCACAGAGTCTGACACATCTGTTTCATACTTGGATATTTTACTTGAAAAAGACGCTAATGGTAATCTAACAAACAAGCTTTATGATAAACTTGATGACTTTAACTTTTCAATCGCCGCTTACTTATGCCTGTATATGGGAATTTTATTTCTCAGTTGATTCGATAGGCAAAAACATGCTGTACGCATATATTATTTGAAAACTTGGTAAATTATTGAAGAAGTTGACGAAACAAGAATATCAGCAGTCTTGTTTGGACATAATTTAGTAAATTCTATGGTCGATACAATGACCTTGTCAGCAAATACAATTTATCATGGAGTCAAGTGCTGACTGAAGTTTTTCTTACTAATTGTTAGTCCATTATTTTTACAGTGAATTGACGACAGAATTTTCCCGTTATTTCCCGATCATGACAAGGAGAACACGACGGATGTGACCGGTTGGCAGTGGATTCTCACTCCTACATGGCACCTGATGCCACCTCCGATGATTTGGAGGTCCGTGTTTGCTCTGCTCCTATTTTTGTATTGTTTAATGCACTTTTGAGCTTGAATACTGTTCGTTATCTCCATATATTTCATGTTGAAACGGATTGTCTCTGACACATGAAAACAGCTTCTTGAATGGAAACTAGTTCAGAAATCAAATGGATGTTTTCTTCGATATTTATTTTTGAAATAAAACATTATTTTTCGATAGATTATTTTTTATAAATCTTAAATTATCATGATAATCAATAATAAAAGAATATCATTTTTGAAAGCTTTCAAACAGAAAAACAGAAACTGTCGACTAATCAGTAATTTGATCGATACATTTTGACACGTGTTTAGTAATTCACAAGTTGTAAATTTCCCCAAGGATTTCTTGATATTTAATGACATTAAATTATTATTTATACACAAATTGTCTTTTCTAGCCTTTGTGACTGAACTAAATGTGTTGCATTTTATTTTTTTATGTAATCAGGATGTGTTTCTATAAATAGTTTTTGTTTATGGGGTATTTTTTGGATTGACCAATAAGAAAAGAGTAGCCAGGGGCATTGATGCCTAGAGGGGGAGTCTGGCAATCACAGTTGGAGCCTAGAAGTCACGGACTGTTGTGCAGAAGCTATTATCTTTGATTTTCTCTACCATTCACAATATGGATTCTTTTAAAACCTGTTATGCGTGTGTATTAGATGTTTTATATGTTATAGGAACTTTTGACGTTTATGATTAGTGTTTCTCAGACGAATTTGACTGACTTTGAGTTTCATAATAACGTTACGTAACTTCGTAAGATGGGACCTAAACGATCCACAAGACCTGCCCCGTATGATCCAGAACTCCCCGCAAACTGGTATGTTTCCCGATTGAAAGAGTTTTTGAATAATCGCGGAATAAACTTCCCACAGACCGCACGTAGATCAGTGTTGATACGTCTAGTGGAACAAGAGTCTATTAATAGAACAGAGACAAGTGCGCGATCCCAGAGTTCCGTGCAGCACAACAACAATGGCGGCGGTCGGGAACTTATAGACATTGTCACGAAGCTGACTTCAACAGTACAGAACTTACAGCAAAATGTGATCAGTTTGACTTCCAGAGTTAATACCTTGACCTCGACGTCTCTATCTACTGATGTGAACTCGAGACCCAGCGAAATTACAAATACACCGCTGCCAAATTCCACGATCACAACGCCGACGGTGAATCCAACTGTAAGTGTAACAACAGCTCTAGATCCTAGCAGCGGACAAAATGTGGCCACTACAGAAATATCAAACAATTTCAACATTTCGTCAGCTATTACGGCCATGCAGACTTCAACACCACGCATTGTATCGGCGGCGGCCGGATCTGAAGCTCAACTGGGCAGGCCCGATTACACTAGGACTAGATATGGCTACGCGGCAGAATCTCTCCCCTTAGTGGAGACGATCTCTCCCCAACTAAGACAGCAGATAACGGCAGGTAAGGATGTTAATCTTGCCGCCTTATTAATTCCTTATTATGCTCCTACTAATGAAGACAAAGCCACCGACACTAAAACGGATTATAGGCTTCAAAGAGTCTTGACACTAGGGGAGTTTATTCAGGCGTTCGGAATCTACAAAAACATTATGTGTAATTCATACCCACAAAGGAGAACGGAATTGGATCTATACGAGCGAGACATAGTGGAAATGGCCACACGTTACCCAGGTAAAGGGTTTTACGAATATCACAGACAGTTTAGCTTAATTGCGGCTTCACATTTGAAGTTCAACAACATACTGGTGGACTGGTCAGTTCGCAACAATACGTTGTTCTGCAACATTTTCGCTAATGCCAAAGCACAAACTTGTTCTTGGTGCAACAGCACTTTGCATTTGTCTGGATTTTGCCCTCTGTCTAAGACATCTGTAGACAGAAAACAAGGGGATAGAGACATAGATGCATATGGAAGGAAACGTCATTTCAGTGCAGGAAGAGAGATTTGTAACAACTTTAATGGGGCAAAAGGATGTGCCCTTGCTCGTTGTAGGAATGCTCATATTTGTATTGATTGTAAGGGAGATCACTCTAGATTGAAATGTGACAGTTCAAAAAACTCTCAATGGCCCCAAACTGGGGCCTCGAATCAACAGAAACTGTGATTAGCAATCTCAATTCGGAGATCACCACACCTGTAAATATTGATGTACTACAAAACATGTTGTTTGATCATCCAAATAAAACTTTCACAGACTATTTACTACATGGTTTGAAGCAGGGTTTCCACACAGGTATACAGATCATTCCAGATAAATCATTTGAATGCAAGAATTTAAGATCTGCAACGTTACAACCAGACGTGGTTACTGAGCTAATTCAAGTGGAAGTAAGCAAAGGATATCTTTATGGACCCTTTGACCAAATTCCTTTCTCTCATTATCGCATTAACCCCATTGGAGTGGCTGAAAGCAAGTATTCCAAAAAGAAACGCCTTATTGTAGACATGTCAGCACCTCATAATGATGAGATGCATCCTAGTTTGAATGAGCTGATAGACAAAGAAGAATTCTCGTTAAGCTATGTTACCCTTGACGATGCTATTCGGCTTATAAAAAATTTGGGGAAAGGAGCTCTACTGATAAAAACTGACATTACAGATGCATTCAAAATAATGCCCATATGTCACAAACTTTGGCCGTATCATGGTGTGAAATGGAACAAGAAGTACTATTTCTTCAAACGCTTAGTATTTGGTAGTCGTTCTAGCCCAAAGATTTTCGACCATTTATCTTCAGCAGTTTGCTGGATTGCGGAAAATAAGTACAATATTTCCAATATTTTGCATCTTTTGGATGATTTTCTGGTCATCGTGCCTCAGAACAACAATGCGAGTGAAATAATGCAAAGATTCCTGGACATTTTCAACAAACTAGGCATACCTCTATCTGCAAAGAAAACTGAAGGACCTTGCACAGAGCTAGAATACTTGGGAATCTTTTTAGACACTGTACGTATGGAAGCAAGATTACCGAGAGAAAAGATTATAAGAATCTCTGAAATAGTAGAATCTTTTCTTCATCGCAAAGCATGCACGAAAAGGGAACTACTCAGTCTCCTGGGACATCTGAATTTTGCATGCCGGGTTATCCTTCCAGGCCGTTCTTTCATTTCACATTTGATATCAATGTCTACCTCCGTCAAAATGCTGCATCACCATGTTCATCTAACCAGCATGTGTAGAGCGGATCTCACCATGTGGGCGAAGTTTTTACGTTCTTGGAATGGTGTATCCTTTTTCATCAATGACAACATAACTGAAGCTGCAGATATGCAGCTGTATACAGATGCAACACTTGTTTCATTTGGCGGATTCTATCAAAACAAATGGTTCCAAGGACATTTCGCACCTGAAATTCTGGAAGAGCAAACTTCAATGGCCTTCTTTGAACTATATCCGATTGTTATGGCTTGTCTTCTGTGGGGGCATAATTGGCAAAGGAAAAGAATTTTATTTCACTGTGACAATAGGGCAACAGTAGACATAATTCATAAAGGGCGATCCAAAGTTATTAGCATCATGAAATTAATGAGGACATTGACTTTTCATGCAGCAAGTAATCATTATGTCATTCATGCAAAACATATTGAGGGCATAAAAAACTCAATAGCGGACTCTATTTCTCGTTATCAGATGGAGAGATTTCGATGCCTGGCCCCACACTCCGATCCAGAGCCCATTCCTTGCCTGCATCATTCCGAGATGTTGATGGATTAGAGCAAGCAGTACAGGATTTATGGGACAAGTCCTTAAGCCACTCTACCAAGCAGACGTACAGTTCCGCTTTTCAGACTTTTATAACATTCATGCAAATGAATGGAGTAACATTTTTAAATGATGGCTTACCACCTGTAAATGAGACTGTTCTTGTTTATTTTGTAACACATTGTAAATCAGTGTTGAAACTCAAGCATGACACTATTAAATTGTACTTAGCTGGAATTCGTTTCCACTATATAAGAGCAGGTTACGGAGATATTTTGCAGGGTTGTGACCAATTACAATAAGTTTTACGAGGAATTAAAAGATCTCAAATGAATGTACATAATAAACGCTTACCTATTACTGTTGACATTTTACAACAGCTTTTGCATGTGTTAGATAAAGGGTTTTTTTTCCCCTTTTGTAGATCTCATGTTGAAGTGTATGTTTTCTTGTGCCTATTTTGGTTTTCTCAGATGTGGGGAAATCACTTGTAAAAGTACCAACTCCTTAGAATTTGTACAGATTGGTGATGTTGTTATGCAATCCGACAAAAATGCCTTTGTTTTGAGACTAAAATCTTCTAAGACAGATCCTTTCTCCAGAGGTGTAGATATTACAATTTATGAGAACGAACATTTGAAACCTGTACATATTATGATGTCATATTTAGAAATTCGCAAGTCTCTACCATTTTTGTTATCTTCACCTCTTTTTGTAGACAGTGAATTCAATTTAGCACCAATTTAAAGAGAAAAATTTGTACAACTGCTCCTACGACTAGGTTATCCTGTAAATAATTTTGCTGGTCATTCTTTCCGTATAGGAGCAGCCACTGCAGCAGCTGCTGCTGGTGTTGAAGATCATGTGATTAAAGAACTAGGTAGATGGTCGTCAAATTGTTATATCAGGTATATAAGAACTAATTCGCAAGTCATAAGGGAAGCTCAAGAAAAAATGAGTGGTAGATAAGGTTTTTTTAAAAAAACATTTGTTACAAATATTCAATTAACATTGTTCTATAATATAAATACCTCTTGGGGGCTTCACTCATTACTTCGTTCATTTGGCGTTCATTCCCGGGGAATTTTGCCCCCAATATTACTTATATTTAAATTTTGTGTGTCTGAAGTGGATTTGTTCTGTTTAAATACTTCGATTGTATAGTGTAGTACATGTATATAAGAATGGTTATATTTTATGCATCAAACAATGGGATTAGCCCATAGTTTGTACTCGAAGGTATTTGTCTGGTTATGTAGCCTGCTGGGATCAGCCCCAGGCGTGATGCACTCCTGGAATCAGCCCGGAGTGTGGGTTCTACTTTAGCCTTTAGGGATCAGCTCAAGGCTAGGTATCTTGTTTACATCCTCTCGGGATCAGACCAGAGGTCCGTCAGGTTTTCGTGGCCTGCTGGGATCAGCCCCAGGCATATCACTCCTGGGATCAGCCCGGAGTGGCGATTTGTGCTTGCCTCTAGGGATCAGCCCTAGGCGTGTTTCTTGTTGAACATCCTCTTGGGATCAGCCCAGAGGATTGTCTTGTTAGTAGCCTGCCGGGATCAGCCCCAGGCATTGTACACTCCTGGGATCAGCCCGGAGTTGTTTTTGGGCTTGCCTTTAGGGATCAGCTCTAGGCAGAATTGGGTCTAATTATTTCGAGATCAGGTTGGAGTGGCTTTATTTATTGATCGCAGTTAAGAGTTGGAAGGAAAGGTAGAGAAAGTAATGAGTAGCCCCCAGAGCGCCAAACAAGTATGAGTTTTGAGATTTACATTATTGTATATATTTTTTCTATGTGTTCATGTTTTTTATGGATTATTGATATGTTTAATATTAAACCAACTGAACCTCTTAAACCTTGTTTTGTTTTGTGTATAAATTGATATTTAATGACATTAAATTATTATTTATACACAAATTGTCTTTTCTAGCCTTTGTGACTGAACTAAATGTGTTGCATTTTATTTTTTTATGTAATCAGGATGTGTTTCTATAAATAGTTTTTGTTTATGGGGTATTTTTTGGATTGACCAATAAGAAAAGAGTAGCAAGGGGCATTGATGCCTAGAGGGGGAGTCTGGCAATTGCAGTTGGAGCCTGGAAGTCACGGACTATTGTGCAGAAGCTACCCACCCTCCATCCCCTACAGCGCCCTTGGCTCTCTTTGGGGCTGCTCATGGCGTTCATTCCGGGGAATTTTGCCCCCAATATTACTTATATTTAAATTTTGTGTGTCTGAAGTGGATTTGTTCTGTTTAAATACTTCGATTGTATAGTGTAGTACATGTATATAAGAATGGTTATATTTTATGCATCAAACAATGGGATTAGCCCATAGTTTGTACTCGAAGGTATTTGTCTGGTTATGTAGCCTGCTGGGATCAGCCCCAGGCGTGATGCACTCCTGGGATCAGCCCGGAGTGTGGGTTCTACTTTAGCCTTTAGGGATCAGCCCAAGGCTAGGTATCTTGTTTACATCCTCTCGGGATCAGACCAGAGGTCCGTCAGGTTTTCGTGGCCTGCTGGGATCAGCCCCAGGCATATCACTCCTGGGATCAGCCCGGAGTGGCGATTTGTGCTTGCCTCTAGGGATCAGCCCTAGGCGTGTTTCTTGTTGAGCATCCTCTTGGGATCAGCCCAGAGGATTGTCTTGTTAGTAGCCTGCCGGGATCAGCCCCAGGCATTGTACACTCCTGGGATCAGCCCGGAGTTGTTTTTGGGCTTGCCTTTAGGGATCAGCTCTAGGCAGAATTGGGTCTAATTGTTTCGAGATCAGGTTGGAGTGGCTTTATTTATTGATCGCAGTTAAGAGTTGGAAGGAAAGGTAGAGAAAGTAATGAGTAGCCCCCAGAGCGCCAAACAAGTATGAGTTTTGAGATTTACATTATTGTATATATTTTTTCTATGTGTTCATGTTTTTATGGATTATTGATACGTTAAATATTAAACCAACTGAACCTCTTAAACCTTGTTTTGTTTTGTGTATAAAAATAATGTTTATAAACTGTTCTCTAGCTGAATATTATGCAATAATTGGCCAAGGGTATTGTCATTTGCAACACTTTCTCAGAGAAGATGACAATAAAAGTGCAACTGATTATCTGGGAGAAATAAGAGGTAGGAATCAGACAGGCTTTATTATTGTTTTGACTTACTACCGGGAACCAGAAAAATTATGGAAGCCTAAAAATGTAATAAAAAAAAAGGAATATATGCGCATGCACTTAGATACATGCAACATTTCTTTAAAGATATAGAGATCTGTTTGTCCTTCTATTATTTTGTAATGTATAATGGGCTTTTGAGCTCGAATATTGTTCGTTTTCTCCATATTTTTATTCAATTTACTACAGAAGGAAATCCAGTTCTTCTTTTTTCACAATCATCTTGCTTTGTGTTTTGTTCTGTTGGCTGTGATTAGTTAAGCACTAAAATTATTTTTCTAACATTTGTTACAGATATTTTGGGGGATGGGTTGAGGGTGGGTGGAAGGCATGGAGCGCTACAATTTAGTCAAAAAGCTCCATTACTCTGTAACATGTATGGATTTACAAGTAGCTATTCTTAAATCAGAAGTGTGTACATTGAATTAGAAACAAGACTTTTCAAGAATAAATAAATAAATCAATCAACCCCTTGAACCTCTTAAATGGTTAAGTAGTTTTACTTTCACTTTACTTTTAATTGTAAAATAACAGATCCATTCTGTAAATATTGACATAACACTGTAAATTTGGAAACCAAAAGAAATTGTGTTGGTGCCAAATACCCAAGAATGGACTGTTCCAATGCAACCATCACTTATGAAATAATGCACAACACGCACACATCTTTTTCAGTTTGGCACATAAAGCAATATTCCCGAAAATTATTAACACATATAATAACATATTCAAAAGTGCATCTGTTGTCATAAAAAGCTCATTTCCTATGATTAAATACATGTAGAATTATAAGATACTAAGTAGATCATATAATGACTACTTAATGATGTAGAAGAGGTGGTACATACAGGTACCTGAATAGAACATTTTTATATCAAAGCACATCCTTGCGAAAAATAATTGTTCAAAACATTCATATGAATTTTTTTCAAAGTTAATTTCAGTATATATAGGACACAACGCCAAGGTATAAGAATGGATAACTATGATATTGACTTACCTAAAGTACAGGAAAATAAACAGCGCAATGGCAAGGGCAACAGTGGAGATTGTGAATCCGAGGTTGTAAATAATCCGAGAAACATAGTCCGTGGCTAATTCCTGTAAACAGAAAATGAAATGGTCTCAATTAAACAAATATGTACAGTAAAACTCGGTTATAGCAAATTCACTTGAACCTAAAATTACGTTTTTCCCCGTTATATCCTAAAGTTTAGCTAAATATATCATGACGTAATATTTTGATTAGATTTATTCTTATTTTATGAATTAAGCGTTATATCCTTTTTAAAATTCCTTATATCCCTTTAAGGAATTTGTTAGATATACATAGCTGGGGATCCAAGATAACTTCGCAATATCAGTGAATTCGCAATATCCGCTTCGTACTAAACGAATTTTACTGTAATCAGAAAGTAGTATATATAGTGGTTTATTTCTGTGAACAGAAAATGGTATTAATCAATATAATTCACTCATGAAAGAGGAATATTTATTTCCAAAGGGGGAAAATGACAAAGATTCTCTCCGACTTTTTTAAACGCTGTTTTAAATTTTGCTTTCAACTTAATTCTGGAGATTCAGACAAGGTGTAATTTGAATTCGCCCCGTTTTAAATTCGCCCAATCAAGGAGAGGGCGAAAGCGGCGAAAATAAAACGGGGGCGAAAATTTCCCTCATACAGTAATTCTATCAATGTTTGTCTTGTATGGTAAACATACTTGTACATATGCATTAATGTTTGACCTTTATGTCAAAACAACGACACATTTAATTTGTTATATCATGGCTGGAATCTGTCATTTTGAAAAAAAAATGCTCCGGGCTTCCATGATTGAAGTATAGCTAGAGCCCTTTTGAGTAGAAAAGGAAATCATTTTCATCTCGATTAACCTTCCTGGTATAATGAGAAAAAACATAATGGGGCTTCGGAATGCTTCTGGCTTAATCAGAGGAATAGATCAAAAATGTAATGCACACAACTAATTAAACAAAAAGCGAACAAACAGAATCTCTCATTACTAGCCTGTTTTGATGAGCATTTGCAGTAGGAATCAGTCAGTTTGACAAATGTGTTTTTTACTAATGACAGTTGCCATTCTATTTCATCTAACACAACTTTTTTTTTTCTAAATTCCTATTGAATTCTAACAGCGATAATTTTCTTATAATATCTTTATTTATAAAAAAAAAAACGATCCTGAATTATATGCATCGATTATACAAATTTCTAACTGCCTAATCCGGCACCTGTACAATCCGACAATTGTGAATTGTTTCTTGTTTAGCGCTCACAGTAGCTCAGTCGGTAGAGCGCTCGCTCCGTGATCGGGCGTTCGTGAGTTCGAATTTCGGCTGCAACTAACCAAAGTCAATAAATAAAAAATGGATAGCAACTGTTCCTTCGTCATGCGCTCGGCACTTAAAGTGAAACATTGAAGAAAAATTGATACTTTAACAACTGAGGTCCAGTGTCACGGCAGGCGTTGGCATGATAAAGATTTTTCTCTGCTCAATGGTCCTGAATGCAGTGTTAAGGTCAAATTTGAAGCTCTTCAACGGTTTATGATGACGATTCTATATGAGTGAAAAAAATTCTCGAATGAAGCGTAAAACAGCATACCATAAAACTATCTCATTTTACCATGGTCTATGGTTTTACATGGTGCGATCCGACACCCTAGCTGTCTATTTCGAAACAAAATTTGTTTCCAACGGCATATCGGATTAGATTTCACTGTTATAAATTTTGTATTATTCAACTTACATTATTCTCCAAATTACATATATTAACAACACATGCAATTAAGGAATGTTTTTAAAACTCCTTATATTTACATTTTACAAGTCTGAAAGCATAAAAATATACTCAGTGTTTGAATTTCTCGCTTTCCTACATCGTATTTTTGCTAACATTGCTATAGCCTCATTGTGACGTTACGTTAGCGAACGTTTCTCCGTGTATATTTCTCCGGGTGAGTATACCCAAAAATGATTTTCAAATCAATTTCAAAGTTGGCTCAGTAAAAAAACACAGCGAATGTAAATAAAGAAAAGAAAACAAAACTAATGTTGATATCACGCCAAACATGACTAACATTTTGTAAATGATAAAATTCTAAAATTGCAAGTTAATGATATATAGGTGCTATTTACAATGTAAAATGATAAATACGATGTATGTAATTAAGTACAGTTAAAAATTAAACATTTGGCAAAATTATCTCAATTCAAAAAAGCTAAAAGTACTTTACATAATATTAATATTTAAGCATGTTTTGCAGAAGAAAATATCATCATTTATGATTGATTGATTGTATATTGTTTAACGCCGAGTCGGCAATTTTTCAGCTATGTTTCAGCGGTTAAATCATTTATGAAAGAATGCATAAAATATAAAACTATTTATTTTGATTTTCAAAAGGTATTGATAAGTTGATATTACGAACTCTATATATTCAGAAGTGAAAAAATAAACTTCAACATTTCTATAGACGACTAGTTTCGGCTTCTCTTAATTCTTAACCTGTATATGATTTTGAACGAACCGACTGTTCGTCTAAATAGTGTCTTAATCGTACTGTCTTACAGCTGAGTAAAACAATCTATTCAAGACAACCAGTGCTTTAATTTGAGATACATGTATGTTATATGTATATCCAGATGGAGTTTCATAAAATTGTGAACCAGCGCTTTTTCTTTCATTTTTTATTTTTTTGATTATGTTTTGTTTTAAGAAATGAACTAAATATAATACTTCTTCCTAACAGATGCGGAAATATATTAAAGGAAAAAATATTTTAAAGTTACATAAAATGAGCTTAATGAGCAAAAAGTGACTTTATTGTATACATAAAAAGAACATGACTCAAATAAACCATCTGAGTACATGTGCATGTGGGTTCATTTTCTACAAAAATGTATACATCCAGCTAAAGAAATGACGATTTGTTTAAGATTTGAAGAGCAATTAAAAACATTATCGAAAATACCGGGGCGGAGACAGTGTTTCAACTCTTTACAAATGAACACTAAGAAGAGTACTGAATATTTTAGCGATTAAATTTTTAGAGGGCTACTATGAAAACACTAAAATAAGCCAAAATTAGCAAAAACTGTAAACTGAGGACTTAAATTTTAGAATTTACTCAGCAATACAATTGTTACGTAATGGTTTCCCCATTTAATACTTCATTTGACAATTTTCATAACATTACCAGAGCTTTTATTAAGTTCTAGCCTGAGAAATTGATCACCAATTCACAGGAATTGCTGAAAGACATTAATATTTATCTAAGTCATACATCTTTGTTGAATTAGAATTCTTGAAAAAAGAGTTTCACATCAATAATTGATGATTTGATTATCAGTAAAGACTATGCACTAGAAATGTTTTACAGAATATTTATTATTTATATTAACGAGATTAGAAAAAACCTACCCCCTGGAATTCATTATCGCTTTCCACAGTGATTCCTTGTGAGAGACAAGCATTATAATTTGCCTTTTCCATCCATGTGCCATTTGGAAAACAAAACTTTGTAGCATTTTCTGTGACAAGGAAACAATTTTCAAAAAATTAAAACCATACCTTCAAGCCATACATTATATGGCTGATAAATTTATTTTATACATTGTAAAAGACTGAAAGTTAAAAAGATTATTATGTTTAAAAAGTGTAAATAGTGATCTTAAAAACACAGAATAATTTTTTTTTTGACATTTTGACATTAACTCAATGAACCAATTTCAAAACTTCTAAAGAATTTAATAAGTATAAATAAAATAAGAGAAATTTAAAAAAGAGCATTTGTAATTACTTGCCATAAGGAAAAGAGAAATTTAGAAAGAGTTTAAAAGTGTAATCATAATTACTTGTTGCGTCTACTCCAGGGACTTCTGGACAGGAAATGACCGCGAAATGTCCCCCCTCTGTCATTGGCCAGCAGGAAAAGGGGTCAGAGGTCGCATTGCAGTACAATTTGCCATCCTCTGAAATCGATAAATTCCTTTTACATTTGTGATATATGACCATGATGAAACCACTGCAATGGTGAATCTACATGAAAATATTCAATTTTCTATTAACTATTCACAACAAGATCTGCAATGTTATTTTTATTCCGGCAGGTTTAAATTTCATGACGTCGCCAAAGTCAGACAGTTATTCGAATTATTGTCCATTTAACACATAGACACAAGTTTCTAAACGACCAGATTGTTGGGTTCTTTGGAGGAGACTAGATGACTATATCTTAGGTTCGCTCAAAGCAATTTCCCAGAAGTCTGATATGATCACGTTCGTAATTGTTAATATTCAAGATAATCATGCCAAGCAATTGCACAGGCGGTAAGCTTTAACTCCTTAAGTGAGCGTGATGAAAGTACTACAATGGCAAGTCACAACTCATCTTAAGCATCAACAGTGTGACAGATTCAGGTCTCCTATAGTTTTTAAATTGATGCATTGTGACGCAATCTGTGTTTCTATTGGTAGAAAAGAGACAAGGTTAAATTAACTTTATCGAATACTTGTGTTCATTCGGTAGATGATCTTGTTGTTTCTCTGGAGGTGAACGTAAAACATACCTCAAAATTAATGTAGGATAAATGCAAGAAAAAATGAGCGACCTAAATTAGTGTACCTTTCTTATAGAAATAAAATTAAATAACAATGTATTCAATTATTTGTTCTACTGAAAAAGTTTCAGCCCATTAAATAACCTTTATATTAAAACTTCCTTTTCTTTGTTACTCTAATAATATTTTATCAACAATATCATCTAAGTAGTTACCAAAAGCTTTATATCAATAAATATCTACATGTAGTGAGAATATCACGATATTGTATTTATGATTGCTTTCAATATATAATCAAACTAGCAAACTGGAAACAGTTCTTTTTTGAGGATGTGCCTCCAGCAGAACATTGTTTCACTATGATATTTACTCCATTATTTTTCTTTGAAGATTGCTCTAAAAATATCATAAATAATATTTGTCTTACCTATATATATTTTGACATATTAATCGACAATTTAGAGTGTCATTACATTCATACATATTAGATAAGTACATTTCTTGTCGAATGATTTTTATTTGATGTTTTTTGTAAACTATGGCCTTTTTTCTGGTTGTTCTCAAAATGAATGTCATCAATATGGGTTGCGGATTTAGCTTTTTATCAATTTACCTAGAATGTGATGGTGTACACTTCACTTTGAGAAAAAACTAAATAACTTCATATTACTGTTAGCAATATAATATTCTCAAACTATTTACAAATTTTTGTAGTTTTCGGCCATAGGGTCAAACCAAAAAACAAATAACTTCCACATTTCAGTATTTTCAAAAAAATGAAAACATGATTTTTTCTTTGCGTTTTATTCCAATGATTGGATTCCTGTCACGAAATTTTATGAGATAATGCTTAACGGAGAGATGAATCGCGAAGCAAGTGATGAGTTATTTGTCTGTATTGTCGAGTCTGTTTCTTCTCAGAATGAGCGTGTATGTATTCCTATTTGTGATTTTTTTCTCTTGCTTCATTATAATTCAAATGCAATTTCTTGCATTCAATAGCCATACAAAGAACCTTTTTAAATGAACTATAAACTCAGGATTGATTGATTGTATATTGTTTAACGTCCTTGTCGAAAAATTTTCACTCATATGGAGACGTCACCGTATGCCGGTGAAGGACTTCAAATTTTGACATTTACTCGGCACTCAGGGCCATTGAGCAGTGAGAGATCTTTATCGTGCCAACGCCTGCCGCTGGGGCCTAGGTTTTTAAGGTCTCATCCCAAGGACCCGCAACTTTCACTTTAAAGTGCCGAGCGCATGGTGAAGGAACATTTGCTACCCATTTTTTATCGACTTAGGTCAGTTGCGGCCTACATGCGAACTCACGACCTCCCGATCACGGAGCGAGCGCTCTACCCACTGAGCTAACTTGAACAGTATGAACTCAGGAAAACAATCAGTAATCATGCTCAAAAGTCCATTAAAACCAAACAAATCAGAAGCAAAGCAACAAGAATCTAAAAAAAACTAAGGAGATGGGATCAGGTACACTGGAGGAATAAACATGTTCTATAGAGTGGTCTTACCCGCCGTGTGCTTCTTGTTGTGATCAAAGAAAAATCGTTGAATATCAGTGTGTAAATAAATTGACTAAGAATAAGTTTAAAATACATCAGTCAGCATTTGACCTAATGACAGTTCGTATTTGCTGACAAGGTCATTGTATCGATTATAGAACTTGCAAAACGATGACTTGAAACAAGACTGCTGATTGTCTCGTTTCATGAACTTGTTTGACCATAGCTTGCCTCCTTTTAGAAATTATTCGAATGTCATATATTTCAATGACTATAACCACTCATAAAAGATACTTTGTAATTGCAGCTGGACTACAAGTCTCAAATATCGATATGATTTCAAACACAAAGGACATATCAAACAGTTAAATGAATTATACATAGCATCCCATTCAAAAATATATCACTAACAAAGGGACATCACTATGTTATGCTCAAGCGTTTCAAAACTAGACTTTTACTCGGCACTAAGGGTCATTGAGCAAATGGGATTCGTTGGCATGTCAAATACTACTGCGACTTGGGGCGTCAGTTTTTAAAGTCTCATAAAAAAAACCCCAGTGGCTTTTACTTCTAATGTCAGGAGTTGGCGAAGGAACCATTTGTACCTACGTTTACATCTTAGGTTTTACTCTACATGGCAAAAGAGAATGGAACCCTGGCCCCGGGATCATGAAAGATGTTAAGCTTAAGTCAAAATCTTTATTTTATATAAAAAAAATATTGTTGAAGTCAAGCAGACCAAAATTAAAATATGTTTAATATTGTTTCACTGAGATATTGTTATGTGCAAATTTAGAAATAAATTCCATTATCAATGAATATTTTATAGGCGATTAAAAATTTGACTTAAGTCTAAATTTCTTTCATGATCCTGAGGCCTGGCCTCCCGATCACGAAGCTAAAATGATATGCTTTATTGAATGAATGGGAAGACCAATGTAATTTTTCTACATGTACTATGATCTAGGTATCTCGAATCAAATTGTATCTTGTCCCTGTTTACTTGCGTTCAAAATAATGAGGTTTTACTATTTAAGCAATTTGTTTTTCAGATATGTTTACTCTTGCTACATGCATTAATTGTTTTAGACAATGACGGGATATTTGAAACCTTTAAACTTTTAATAATCTAATTGTATTTCAATTCATGGCTTGAAGACTAGGAATCTTGTCCTTTTCATATGGCTTAAGTAACGTGTTGATCCCAACTTAGGTCAGTCGAAGCCGAGATTCGAACTAGCGACCTCCCGATCACGGAGCTAAGAAGCTCGAAGAAAGACCGATAGCAATTAAAGAAATTAAAGGAGTCTTAATGTCACTTTGGTCGTATCTACACATTAAATCAGAGCAGCTAGATAAAACATTCATAGAGTTTAGTTTTATATATATTTGGTGTGTATGTACTTTTAAGAACTTATTAAATATTTGAGGGGAAATTGAGCTCCGTGAAAAGGTTGAAAAGAAAAGCCATCGACAAATATTGATTTACCTTATTGTCTTTGCTGCATACTTCAAATGTTCACTACCATGTAAATTAGTTACTAAAATGCAATTTTCTATATCACACTGTGCTATAGATGGTAGTGATAAGTGCTATTCCATGCTTCTGATAATGCATTTTTAAGATGTTTTTCAACCACCTATAGCCCTAAAATCATCAAGCTATGCGAATATAGTATATCAAAAGGAAAGATGGAAAAACCATTTGTTTTTCTAATTAGTTTTTTCATCATTAGTTTGAATGTATTGCTCTTCTGTTTGCACAGAAAATACCAGCTTGCTTTTATAAATTGTTCTTGTTTGTTTGAAAACTTATCTTCAAATAAATATCTGATTTTAAATTAAACAGAACGCAATACACGAATAAATGAACGACATTTTAAAGGCAATTAAAAAAAAAAAAGATTTAATTAGTTTCACAGGGAAGTAAAAAAGGAGCTTTGAGTTCGTCTGATATTCCATCTGATGTTCTAGAAATAAAATTGTTGGCACAAAGATCACGGAGATCCCTAAAAAAAATTGATTAAAAGATGTTTTAATCAGTTTTTATTTGTGATTGAATTACACAAAAAGTGGGTTCGTAGAAATCCAATGTACTTCGGATGGATTTTTCAATTGCAGCTTTTAGAATATAGGTTTATAGAGTGATGGTCAAAACATTTAAGACTTACTGAAGAATTTTGGAATCGTTGGGATCCATGTGAGTGAATGGAAAATTAAAAAAAATTGTTTATGGGTAACTTGTACATACAGAAGATTCATTGAATAGGAATATTGACAAAAAATTATTTGTGGAGGCATGGGCTTCTGTATAAAAGTGACCAACGAAATCCATGAACATTGCTTCCCCTACGATCAGCACTCGATATTAACACTAGGCATATAAATCATGACTTAATTACTCTCACTCAAGCATTAAATCGGAAAATCTAAAATGAAGTCCCAAATATCAAGTCTGTCATTCCATAACAAAAAACAAAAAAAAAAAAAAAAAAAAAAACAATGTCACAGTTGTATTTCTTTTGCAACTATCACACAGTCCTTAAGGACAGAGGAGACGTTCCTTAATAATAGATAAATTTTTCAAGATTTTGTCATTGAAGTATTGCTACTTAAACATGTTTACTCACAAAAATTTGAGGTACCTTACCAGGCATCTCTGCAAGATACCAGTGGTAGTTTTCCTTATATAATCCTGTTTGGAAGAAAAATAATTTTCTAATTTCAAATGTTTAACTGTTTGGATTTTGTAAAAACGTTAAGAAACTGGTTAAGAAATCAGAATGTTATTAAGATTTTGAATATTTTTCATACATTACGAAGATATACAAAACAGATATTGAGGAACGTCTCGTCTGACCTTAAAGTAAGTAATTAAAAAAAATC